AGCCCTGAGTATGGGTGTCTGCGGAAATGAGCCAAGTAGACCTGTGGTTTCACTTCTGTGTGAGAAGGGGTAGGGTGCAATACGTTGGGGAGCCGGTATCACAGGCCGCATAGGAACAGCAGGTCTCCAACTAGGAGGTGATATTGTTGCACTGAGGCGAGCATACATCGGATTTAAATGTTGTGTAGATGGATGTGGGGAGAAAAACCTGTCGTTTCTCCTGTAACCCTTGTCTTCATGACTATGGGAGGCATTTGTGTTCCGAACATTCTAACGCATGTTCGCTTTTTTTACCACCTCGGTGTGTGAATCCTACCTTTCTGTCGGTTAGTGAGAGTGCTACGGTGTTCGGTGTCATACCGGTGGACGTTGTGATGTGTCTGCTTAAGGAAACGGGGTCACTCTTTGGGTGGCGTTATAACCATTAAGTTTAACAGTCCGAATATAATTACTTCGTGGCTGGCTAAAACGTTCCTGTTCCATTGACTTTGGCGGTATTCTCGGACTTGGACTTTTGGGTTTAGGTTTTCGAAACATGGCACTTTGTGGTTGTGCGCTGTCAATACACCCAGAGGTCAACATGGGATTTGAGGGCGGTAAAAGCTTAACAGCGTAACTGCACCTGGGGGACGCTGGTTTTGTCGATAAACTCAGGGGGCTCAGGTGCATATCAGACGTATCATTACCGTTGCCATCCATATCAACATCATCTGAGAAAAAATATGCGTAACTGGCGGAGATTTGACCCTCAGTCTCGGTGTTTACTACCATATTGGATAGTGAAACGGTAGCGGCTGATGTACACGTAACAGTATGCCCGGTCAGCCTTTTTTGACCTACACTTACAATGTCACGTGGTGTGAGGAGCTGGCTCCCAGGCGTCAGTAAGCTTCGGGTGGCCACTGGTTTTGATGAAGTTTTCGGAGGGACTTCATAAGGTTTCGGAACGTGTGTCCGCCTTTGACATGGGGTGAGATCTGGAAGTGCCCTAACGTTCTCACAGCTTCTTAAGAGTCTTACAGATTTCTGTGAACCACAAAAGTGTCTCGCATCAAGGAGTGAGCTAAACTGGAATAATATTGGACAGGGGTATTTACTGGTCCTCTTCCTAAGACTCCGGACTGTTCAACCAGATTCATGCAAACCGCAGGCTCGGAGGAGATCGTTTTTAACACGTCTTAACGGAAGGCTATCAGGGACATTGAGGATAATGGAGTTGTGCGACGAAATCAATCGTTTGCTAGCTTCATTGGCTACAAAGTTCACCGATGTTTCACATTTGATAAGGCTATCCACTGATAAGTCCGTTGTGGGGTTGAGTGGGCAAATTAGAGGTGTAAAACAGTCTGGTTTACGCCGAAGATCAGCAATCGCGTTACTGTTGTCCACAATATTATGCTTGTTCGCAATAACACCACTATATACATCAGTCATGACATCAGGCAGATCGACAGGAGGACCGTTGATAAATAAGCCACTTTCAGACCCTAGTGACGGATTCGAAACTTTTGATCTCTTAGCTTTATGGATTGGTCTGTTTACAGCAGCGATAAAGTTACTCATGTTAAGGCTACAAGGCACGGACATAAAGAAACAAAAATTTATTGTCTGACGATAAAACAGCAAGATTAGAGACTTGTCTACAACACAGATCAAAGTTATTGGTTGTCTGTCGACCTCAGCTTCTGCAGTAAACTGGTAGATAAAGCAGCAAGATGTTACAACTTCCCCTCAAATGGCGAAGAACCAAAGTCCAGACCAAAGTTCACTTATTGATGAAAACCAGAGATATGCAACCAATAGTTGCAGAGAAAATGACAGCAACAGTTAGCAGATAACGTATAGGTTTAGAAGCTTTAATTTGCGGGCAAAAAATGTGACTGTACCGTAGCCAGATTGCCAAAATCCAAGAACGCGAGGAGAGCACAAATAGGTAACGCACGCTTCAAATGCTCCACCACGGTCACTGACCACCTCATACTCAGAAGCTACTAGAGCTGGAGCTATAAGACATCGAAACGTGACGAAGAAAGCCAGAAAGGATACAAACGCACCACTTAGGTTTAGCTGGACTGAACAATCAAAGCTTGCAACACTCGAAGTTAGCCGGACCGCCAGTCCTCCGAGCACTGCAAAACGTCACTGTCCCCGGTCAAGTAAACGCTGACCCTCATACTATACCTATCAGCTATCCCGACCCTCTGGTGAGAACCACTGGGGGGAAACGTCAAAGGATATGACAGAAACATTCGGATAAACCCCGTGGACATGGGGGTGACTGCCACACATTTGCTCCCCCTGTAACCAAAAGTGATGCGGTGTTTGAGTGCAACGGCTGCAATAGGTGGGTGCACTGTAGATGTGACAAAGAGGTGCCACGTCAGTATCTTACCTTTGAGACCTGCCTTCAATGCACGTGGTCCCAGTACATTTGCCCACAGTGCCTTCTGAGACCGCATGTGGCCTCAGGCTTACTTGGGGTAACTGATAAATTTCGAGTAACCGCCAAAAAGCGGGTGTCCATCTAATCAACCATCATGGGGGAGATTCACCCTTCAGAAGACTTCGGCAGTGTCCTACCAAAGGTCGAAGGCCTTAGCTGTTCCAAGCCGAACAAAACACTATCTGTACCAATAACACCCACATCCACCCCAAGCCCTGGACCCACATCAGCGACAGCAACCGCCGGACAACACAACAAATGGGTTAAGGCGGGAAAGAAAACTCGAATCATGGTGGCATCAGCAACCGATCTAGCTCCATCATTCTATTTTACGTTCTTGTCTGCAATGACAGCCTTCTGGGGCATAAATACATTGTTGACAAGCAGCAGCGGAACTCCCTTTGTGTCACGTCAGTTCTGGGCGCTCTCGAGGCTCTCGACCGCACAAAGGCACCCATTCACCCCTGGGGAAGCCCCCGCCAATGAGAGTGATTCTAGGCTCAACTGGGGGCGCTGAAGAGTTTTTCTTATTGTCACACACCCTGGTCATCAGCAGATCGTCCAATATTAGAACCAGACCTGACCAATCATGGATGTGAGAAGGATACCCGAAGAGGCGGCTGATCCACTAAACCCACGACCATTGAGATACATGAAATACCTGTAATGGTGACCGGCAACCAGGTGATAAGCACTGCTATGACGCCCAACAGTGGGAGTGGTTATCAGCTCGGATGGGGCTAAGTGGAGTTGCAGCGGCGGCGACCGGCGAACTTCCATGCCCCTCGCATCCAGCAACCATGACCTCACCTGGACTAACGGCTGTGAACTTGGAATCCCTAGAAGTACTTACCAGAGTGCTCGAGACGTAGTGTAAAATCAAGAGCAGCGTAAGCGGGAATGTTCGCTGCTGTGGAGGCAGACCAAAAACACTGTGACAACAACAAACAGCAGTTACTCCGAGTGCTCAGGCCACCATCACCCTGAACCCACACGTTGAAAACCAGACCGGCGGCCCCCACCCAACACCGACTGTACCAGTTGACCCGGAAAAAACTTAACTGGGCCGGTTCCATTAATGCTGGATAGTCAGTAAAAACCCTCACATCCAGGCCTGTGCCACTAGTTAACCCAGAGACACCTCACATTACGAAAGGCACTCCAAGAGGAGCGGGCAACAAGTAACGTACCGGCATCTAACCTGGATAGGTGCTGGTCAATGTTTTTTCGCACTCCTGATCCCCGGAAAGTATCCTACTATCTCCGTAGTTCACGTCTGTCCCATACCACAGCAGAAAAAGACCTGGGCTTGGCGGAGAAACTGGGCACCAGTTCGGATCACCCAGGTGATACCTCAAAAGCATACAGTGTACCGCACTTCACACGCAGACGACTAGGTGGCCTTGCCCCAGTGCTCTTTCTGAAGCTCTACAAGACCTACATACTGTCCCGCCTGGCGGTCCATGGTGCTTTCGCTTCACCACAACTTAAAAGAGGCGCGAACCCACCGGAGAAAGTTGGGAGATGAGCCGGAAAGGGGATTGTTGGGATTCAACGAAAACTGTATGAGGATGGACGGAAAGACCTAGGCTTACCCTGTCTTAGCTAACGAAGGTCATGAGGTGACTCAATAATGACTTGCAAAATACTGAACAACCCGGATCACCTGAGCAGAGGATTACTACCGAGTGGCCACTACGGTGTTCCTCGTGAAAATCCTAGTAGAATCGTCCACCAAATGTCAAAAACTCACGTGCGTTCACACTTCTTCTCCCCCGGGTCTGTGAGCACTGGAATCCATTACCAGCGGAAGTAGTCTCCGCCCCATCTGCTGAAAGCCCCTAGAAGAGGCTAGACAGTCACACAGTGACCCACAGCCCACCCACATATAACCGAAACACGAACTAAATAGAAGAAATCAATAGATGTCACACCATTCCAGCTATTTTGCCCCACAACCAGCTTCCTTTTTGCCGTAACCATTTAAACCCTTTTCAGCCCTTCCACTTGCCGGGAGCTAGCCTTACCTACCTAAGATCTCCATACCTTTGCACCCCTCCCCGCCATACTCGGGAGCAAGTAGATTACTCCTTTAGTCCACTTTTCTTTTCTAGGTTTTCTCCTCACTATCCCTAGCTCTCTGCAAGGACCAGTCCGAACAACTGTCTGTCAACTCGACATCTGAAGAAGCCGACCGTACCACAGTCCAGGGCGAACTAACCAACACTCAACCTCCTGTTCTATATACCAGAGCTATAGCAGATGAGCGGTTGGATCTACTCCGTCGGAATCCACCAAAGACTTGGAACCGTTCCACAAGACCAAGAAGCAAGCAAGAATAAGTCAACTGGTTTTACATAAGCTCGCTAAACAGATATTAGATATCGGGGATTCACAGCACTAACCATACTGAGTTGTATTCAACACGGAGTAAGAAGCTGAATTCCTAAACTCTGTAGCCAACATGAAATCTGATTGCTGAATTTGAACTTTTGTTCTTACACTTTGTGAGAAAACTAAGAAGTTTTGAATCCCTCAAGGTCACTGATGCCTTGAAATGCTTGGTACTGTACCAGAAAGTGTGATGGTAATTGTCCGTGATCTGATCAACAAAATTATCACATCGAATAGGTGTGAGTCATACACAGAGGGTAAGTTGTTTCAGGAGCTTTTGCTGATTTTGAGCATAAGTAGATACTCTAAAGCATTTCTATTCTTTCGGTGATAATCTGTTCACTTGGTAAGTTCTTTATAAGTGATATTAGTTTCTGTAGTTCTTCGAACTCAACATCATTATCAGAGGCTGAAGGGAGATTGTTGTCAATACGTAAGAGACCTTAGTTAAGTAATTGCACTGCAGTTTCAGTTGATAGACGAGATATTAGTGCATCAAGACTCAAACGTCTTCTTAATCTTCTGCACAACTTGGTAATTTATCTATCTGCTTATTTCCTCAGCCTTCAGTCAGAAGAAAGGTGGAAATCCTTGAATTTTTCTACCAACTATCTAGTCACAACTCTTGTCAAGCAAGTTGCTATTTTGGTTATTTCGGTTATTTTCCAGAGAAAGCTTAACATTCCATCCGTTTCTGAAAATTTCTTTAAGAGTTCGAATTTAACAAACAATGGCTCCAGCGGTTTTGTTTCGGACATGTGAGTTCTTGATACATAATATTTATCCTAGCTCTGATTCCATTTAAAAACATTTTGTCGTTTTGCAATTGTGCATTTGACTTTACCAACCCTGAGAGCTTTCACTTTGTCGATTGCCACTTTATGTAAAAGTTTTAGCTAGTATTACCTTCAGTGCTTTAACCTCTAGTTGTCGTACCAGTAGATCTGTATCTGCCACATAGTAACTTCACATTTATAGGGTTATGGTGACGCAGGTATTCTACCACAATTTAGACTGGTTATGTGTTATTCCATAAAAGTGCACTGAGTAAAGCGTCGTACAAGCGCATGATAATAATATTTTTGAACTTCAAAGGTTTGTGGTTCATTAACCTTTTCAATTCTCAGTCTCAATGGGTTAGGTTTTTTCAATTATAATCCATTCTGTCGTTGAAACTGCAATTTCCATCGTATTGTTTGAAGCGCGTTTAGACTGTCAGAAATGGACAAGGATAAGACAATATCAACCAAGATTGCTAATTAGGGCTGTTGTTCGTTAGTCTAGGTGGTCAACTTTGAACCAGTATGCTGTGAGTTCAAATCTCACTCCACATAGCATCACAAGCATTCTCAGAATAGGTGGCTCATTGTTTATGGTACGGAGCTGCACATAATTGCCGGGTTACACTTTCATTGCTCAGTAATCATATCCAAGCTTTTAGAGCCTATAATATTATTTGGTCGCCTGAGTTAACTCGTTGCAGTAGATTTGTATTTATAACTTAATTGTTACGTTGGTTGTCTACACTAGTGAACTGAATTCCTCGTTTGTCAAAGCAATGCCAGCCTTATGACCATCCTGATATGACTGTTAATTTATATGTTGGGAATTATTTCATTCGGCATGTGCGCTTTTCTATTATTGTTTATCTTTGGGAAAGTGATAGTCAAGGAAGTGTCTGTAGATACTGAAGATATTGCGTATCTCACACCGCTTATGGTGGTGATGAGATGTCTGTCTATTAACCAAAACTAGCGTGAGATAGAGCCTTACATTTACCGGGAAGCCAACAATACAAGTGATTTGCTAGTAGTCATTACTTTATGCTTGTTTAAAATTTCGGCTACTAGTATAATCATAGGCAATCATTTTGCTCGAACTATTGACAAACCCCCCAAAAATCTGATCGGTGTGTACCAACATTCATTTTAACTTTATTTGTAATAAATTACCTCATGCGACGATACGAAAAATCTTTGAAGTGTTGCTTATTAGCTTATGTTCTTGTTAAAGTTGGGACAAAATAATGTCGAGGTTATGTAATAACGTTTTTGGTAAAGAACTTATGTTCGATCTGCTTATTTTGATGTGACACGCAGCGTTACAGCATTATTTGATGGTTGGTATTTCTAGCACATTATGTATGATCGTACTCAACGGTGCATGTAATGTGGTGTATCCGAAATGTCATTGGCTAAATAACGCTGCACCACTGCGTGTGGTATCCAGTAAACAATTCTGATACCTGGGTAAACCAGTGAATTTACACCAACCAAAACATTTTCATTGTATGTATATCTGGTCATCAGCTACCTCGGAACTCGATGTCTAGTGTATAGATGACACGAGAATTCATTAAAGTAAAATGAAGGGATAGCAGCAATTAATGAACTTGTTAGATATTCTTTTTCGAGCAACTCCAGAAGATATTCAGCAGTTTTTGAATTCCATATTTTTATGTATCTGTCGTATGATATTTAAATCTCACAATGTTATTTCTCCATCCAGTCCTTCTATCTCGTTTTTTATCCATGCTTTTGATTTAGAAAACTATTAATTTCTAGAATAACTCTGCGTAACATTAAGCAGCTAAGTTCTCAATTAACTCAATTACTCAACTACTAATGCTTAAAAAAATACATCACTGAGATGTGACATGTAGGAAGAAGTACACAATAATCGCTTAACACAGTGTTATTAAAGACAAGTTATTTTGTTAGGACTTCCCAGAGATAACCTTTCGTTCTCGTTGAACTAGGCACCAACCAGTCATATTACACCGTGCGTTGACTTCCATATAGTCTAATTAAGGTAAATTATCTTGTGTTCTAATTTGTAGCAATATGACTTGGTATTTTGTTGTACTTGGACTTGTTAGTAATTTTAGATACTTTTCCGTGCTTAATTTTCCACAGTAAAGTAGAAACAGATTTGAAGTAGCTTTTCAAATGCATTTCTTGTGTTCAGGACATCTCATTATTCTGGCCAACCAAAATCCAAGCCCCCCACCCCAAGTGTGAGGTCTACTACAAGATCTGTTGACTCGCCGTCACATACAACAGCCGACAACTTGGTTAACCTGTGGGGCCCCTCAACTGGTGATACCTACAGACCTCCCTTATCAAGTAATAACATCAATCGTCGTTTTCTTAGCCAGCATATCAAGAAGTCTACAATACCCAAAGGTACACACCTATTTAATACTATCTCTTATTGAACCGTTACTTCTATATATGATACTTGGTAAAAACGTCTTACTTTTTTTCCGGTTACGATGATTTGATTGTTTTGTAGCCTATTTTCAGCTTCAGAGTCAATATTTGTGCGCCATTGACATTCTGCGACATTTTGAACACTAGTCAGTCTCTTTCTGTAAAGATGTGACTGATTAGCATAAACATTCGACTTGTAAACAGTAGATCCTATGTTCAACCTCTATCCACCTACTGTGTGAACGGTCATACACCCTTTTACAATAAATAAAGCTCATAGTCTTGCGCATAAGCACTTATATTGGGTTAAGTTACGATATAATATCGTTTCAAAAAAGACCGAGGAATATCCAATTATCCCATTCAGTTCAACCATGTTGCGTTTTGCCAGGAAATATTATTATGTTGATAAAATAGATCGTGGTTTTGTGTGTTTGATTAAACCTTATATCCTGCTTATGGAAATGATTTCACAAGTCATTACGCCCGATTCTCGAAAACTATTTACGTGATATGCTGCTTTTAGTGGAAAAGCTAAATATCTTGTGCAATTTGTTAAGCTATTTATTTACTTAACAACTTTATCGTATGCAGAAAAATGGGATGGAAATAATATGATATAAATGTGAAGTCAGATAAGATTAACAACGTTCAGTGACAGAAAAGTACTCAAGTAAGGATACGTTAGGAGTGGCTCACAGAGATATAGCATTATTTACTGGATAGTATTTCTAACACTAAAATGCAAAACCCACTCAGAATGACACTGAATTTGAAGGTCCTATAAATTCAGTTAGGCGAAACGATCTTATCTGTCAAATGTCGAGATCGCATCAAATTTAAGTGCCATTCAGCGACTACGCGCTTGTTTATCCAATAAGTAATGAATGATATCTATAATGTGAAGGTTAATAAAATTACCTCGCCGCCAAAACCTCGGTAGATAGAGCGGGGTTCAAACGCCAAGTCTCATATCTCAGCTTCCCGTCTTTTGATCTGTGGGTTACTTGTTGAAGTGTTTCGATATTACATTCGATTACGGTCTTATATTATTTACTTGTAATTGATAGTAAGCGCTTCAAAATTCTTTCAATGAATGGATGTTTCCAAGTGTGTTGGTATTCTCCATGAGATTCGAATTCAGTACCCATGAGTTAGGACATCAGAGCGTTAGTAACTGTGATGTTATTAGATCATGGTGATCACCTCTTTCTGTGAGGGGTCAGAACTCTGTATTGCTGATTAATAGAACCTTAGAATTTACTGTAAGTCGCTAACATTTTTACTCCATAAAAATTGAATTTTTCCACTTTGACTGATTATATTAAACAGGGAGCAGTTAAAAAAAACACATCTATAATTATATTTATCTTTCAGCCGCCAGCCGGACGACGATTTCAGAAACCGATCTCCTACGTGAGCTAGTATTTGTACTTAATGGTGTTGGAGGCGACCTGATTAAATATGACCCCATACATGACTCGTTCAGAGTATGTTAATTTCTAATTGTTGTTCTTACTTTTTCTAAACTTTTCAAAGTTTAACAGACTCAATTTCATTGTTTCATCACATTCAGTCAAATGTATGCAGTTAAAATGGTTCTATGCAGACCTGACCTTGGTAGCAATTTAAGATTACTTAGCTACCATTGGAGTTCCAAACTGAGGATGAACTAAACAATTTCTAGGAGTATGTGCACTATTGGAATATTATGCAAAGCAATATTGTTACTTGCAAAGGTGTTGTTCTGGTAATTCATCAACGTGAATGCTATATCTCAGTTGAAAGTGTATTATCTTAACTGACATTAACTCTTTAGAGTTTTCGTTTGCATCCTGGCCACCATTTATAGCATGACTTTAAAATTTTGGAGTTAGTGATTTTATAACAGTATTTACGTGAATTTATTCTATCAAGTCGATTAGTTGCTGTAGACAATCAACTTCCAACAAATCAGTTATTAATTAGAGCTACACTCTACCTAGTAAGATCTATACAGACAGGTGATATCATCCTCTGTCGCACAATAAGTGTCACTTCTTACTTCCGACACAAGCTTGCACTTATTTGTTGAGTTATAGTGATGAATATTTTTCCGTTCTATTTTTCACACATTATTTCAGTGATATTTTTGAAGAGTGATTAGATTATACTGAGAATTCATTTACAACACGGAACAAAAACTCGACACAAAGTTTATCTTTCATAGAAGTACACACTGTATTTATGCTTTTTTTCTGGTGGAAAATTACAAACACAAAATAGCATGATATCACATTTTCACTCTTTGAGTTTAGTAACTAAAACAGAAAATAGGCTTTAGATGAATAAATCGACAGAGCGACACAAAAGACCATGTTATTCATATGGTTTAATCATCAGGTATCTAATAAAGTCTAAGAAATGAATTAACCTTTATTCCATTTTGAACAAGTTATCTGTAATGCAATCCTATCTGGTTATTGACAGACAGATAGAATCAGCGTAGAACCTCGTACAGAAGTGCATGCGTTCAAGTTACAAAATTTCGCATTAGTATACAAAAACAAGTGGATAGAATAAGAGTTATATCAAAGTAGGCAAAGTTGTATGAGAGAATAAACAATTTGTAGATAAAGGTTAGTGCGAATATTCAGGCTATAGAAGACGTGGAAGAGTGGATACATCTACACCATTGTGTACAATTTTCAGCCATGTCACCATAAGTTATCAACCACTGATTTCTTTTGTATCGGGGAAGTCTACATCTCCCAACACGGCTCAGACCAACAGTTAAGACCTTCATGAATTAGTGCCACGTCTTGGTTTGGCCATCCTGAAACCTCTTCCAATCCAATTAACTTTCCCCAGCTTGGCACATTGAAGTAGGCGATAGCTCGGGATGGGTAGCACATGTCCGAGCCACCTCAGCCGGTGAAGTTTCATAACCTCATCAATCGGTTTACCTATCATGCCTAGTACCCTTTGCTTAGTGATTGAGTCGGACAAGTCCGAATATATCAGAATTTAATACGAAATCATAACTTGATGAAGACTACCTACCCAGTGCTAATGTTCTTAAAGTGTGTTCATAATGTGCATAAAAACCTTCAAGCCTAAATTACACAAATAATAGACATTACTTTGACTCAGTGTTGTAAGCTATTTAGTGGTCAACTGTCACCTCCGATTTCTAATATAGTATTTGAACTCTCAGAAAATATGGATCAAATTCGTGATACTTAAGTAATGGATACGATCATACCAACTATATGTTCATAATTGTCCTATTTATGTATATGTGGCTTATTCAAAAGATGTTCCCATTAATGGTTTGAACGATTTCATCACTATCTGTTAGTATTGACTAACTAAGCTCTAATCGTAGTCATTAACTTATTGTTATTCGATACAAATTTTAGTCCAGTATGTTGTCTAATCTTATGATTTATAACGTTGTAGACAGCTTTTTAGGTGTCACTCCTTGGAATAGTAGTCAAGTCTTATTCACTTCATCCTCATTTAAACGCATACAAGGTACGTACACAAGTTAATACGAATATAGCTCAGGGTATTCATTTTTAAGTGACTTTAAGGTCCTTCGCGGCTTAAGTTTTATTAGAAGCACTTTTGAGAGATGACTTATTTGCGTAGCAGAATCTTGTAGTATAAGGTTGTCAAGGGTTTGATAACGTTGAAATTTTTTTCGACTAATGAATATTTGTGCTGATATTCGTATGATTGTTGGATTGTATAAAATAAGTAATAGTTGTGATATTTTAAGTATTTAATATCATACAATGATCTGCATTCAGATTCAAGGATTTATTAGAATTATGAGTAGTGTGCTAAACATGTAAACAAAAGATAAGTCATATTTATCGTTTTCACACCTAAAAACTAGTACATTCTACAAGCTAGCATTTTCTAACAATCCTGTTAATACTGTCTCTGTCTATAGACAAGTTGACTAATGGGAAGCCACCAGCTTTGAACTGAAGGTTTCGCTAGACAAACCAGAGTGATCTAAACACTAGAGAACCACTTCAGTTGTGTAAAACTGAATTTGTCGATGGTGAACCTGGATAAATCCAACTCATTTAAGCTTAGACGAACTAAATTTGACCAATTACAAATCTGCTTACCATTGATTGGAAGAACCATCCACAAATTATGTACATTGTGTATGGTTCACAAGCTATAAAACCAAAACTATACTAAACCCCGTTGCATAAGGAGTGAATATCGTGACTCAGTGGCCTGGTAGGTAACCCTCTAGCGTTTAAAGCACCTAGTCCTTGATTCTACTTTTAGTAAAAACAGTACTCACTAGGAGCCAGGTACATCTAACTGACGAGTCCACTGCTAGCCACTGTTTATCACTAATATCTACGGTTCACGTTGAAAAATCCATTTGTGGTATCAAAAAAGTTTTTATGCAGTTATTGATATTACCTCACCATATATATATATATATATATATATATATATATATATATATATATATATATATATATATCCGTATTTTGTGCATATTAATCCACTAAATTTGGTACAATCTCTTTTCAAGTTAGTGTCAAATGTAGATGTCTCCGCTGGCCAACAAGATTCAGTCCACAGAATCTCTGAATGCGGTTGGTTACATAATCAAATTAAACAATTTGTAAACCTTGCTGAAAATGATAGGTCTGCTGGTACTGTTTTGCAGTGTTTAGCATCTGGATTGCATGACCACCTTACTGAATATTATCGCCTAGTCGCTGCTTTGGAAGTGAGTATATGTGTATTCATTCTTCTTCTTATCTTTGTGATACGGAAACAACGTTTCCATAATAAGTTTGTCTGCCTTGGAATTCCGATTATAATCAGTGATAACAGACTTTAAGTTAATGATTATTTTTCACTAAGCGACTGGGTGTGGTGAGTTTTTGAAATACTTTAGTTTACTAAATAAATGCTAACAAAGCCAAAGTTTGAATGATAAACCCAGGAAAAATAAGACTATCAATTTGTTTAAACTATGTATTTTGCTTTCAGACAACGAGCATGTGAATTCAATTTTTTTAAAAGAATATTGACATTCATCCTGTGTGGAAGTAGTTCTTGTTATTAATTTGCATTATTGATGATAAGCCAAGATATAATATACATTAAGCGATTATCATGTAAAAATTGTTGGCTAGTGTTTAAATTGTAAAGCTGCTTTCTGCTCAGTCAATCAAAATTTCTTCAGTAGTAGTTAGTCAGTCTGTCCATATCAACATGGGACCCAGGATTACTGCGTAGGGGTTTAAGTTGTCACACTTCATATCATCACACCAAGAGAGAAGGCACCAAAATAAAGAATAGATAAGTAGAGAAGGAAGTAGTTAAAATTGGTACAAGGTCGTGCTAAGATAAGAAGAAGGGATGAAGCGATAATGAAATTCGGTATGACAACTAAGAGGGAGGTAATATACAGATGCCTCTGTACCATTGATATTGATTCTGAATCATACCCACTTAGAGTTTCCAACCAGTGATTTCGGTTGTCATGCTGACGCCCACGGGGAAGTTTACATTTCCCTACATAGCTAAGATCAACAGTTAAATACTTCATGAACTGGTGTCATGCCTGGCTGCCCCTAACTGTTTTTGATCCCGAACCTACTTGAGCTGACGTACGACGCATTAGACGGTAGCCAGGCATGCATAAAACATGTCCCAACTAGTTGCGTCTATGAACGTTCACAATCTCAGCAACTGACTCAATTTTTCTACCTAAACACTAAACCTGATTTCTGAATTAACGGCATAGTACTACGAAGCCACTGGTACATAGGCAACGGTGGTTGAATACCTGAAGTCTCTTCGTGTCTTATACCTTTAGTGGTCATGTTTTACAGCCATATGGTAGAACGAAGCGAATTGCATCGTCGTCAAAATCAACATAGGACTAGTCATTACTGCGTAACATTCCGAGTTGCCACACGAATTGCAGCACGGTACACTTAACTTTTAAGAAGCATTCCGATATCACAGTGGCGAAATAAATGGTGCAATTTTGTAAAGGCTCACGGAGCCTTCAGTACCCATGCAGAAATTCCATCCGTCATGGATCCACTAGAGCTAATTTGGTTTCCCAGTTAAATAAAATGGTCAACGCGCTTAATCACTTCCTATTGTTGGACAGGGTATCGACACAAACCAGTTCTGGAGCAACCGTTTACTTTTAGGTAGTGAGAAACGCATCACAGACATTCGAACTGTTACTGTAGTTTTCCAGAACTTTTCATCTTGTCAGCATCTTCACCTAATAGAACTGTGTCATATGTGTCTCCTAAAGATTCTCCTGTGGCTAGGTCAATTCCTGGGGTCAAACTACGAGATAGACGTCTATGATAAAAATGAATATAAATAACAAGAGTGAGGATCCTTGATGGACACTACCTGGCGTACACAGCTCATCTGATAACTCACCATCACTCATTGTTTCAGCCGTCTCTCCTGCGAGTGAGTCGCAGACCTATCCTCCTCCGTTACAGTCTCACTAAACATTGGATTTTTTGTCCCAATTTCGTTGGTCAGTGTCTGTGTCTGTGTGATGTTACCTGTTGCTGCTAACGTTTTCATCTCTGGTCCTCGTTACTCACCACTGTTCGTGGTTCTTATGCATGCATTGCTTATCAGTCCACATTTGGGTTTCTTTCCTTCCCCATTGTGCTTGGAGGCTCCAATAATATGTCCGCGTGCATCCACTAATTCCAAAGAAGCTGCTGAAACTCACTGGTCTCTTCTGACCACTTCGTGAGATTCATCTATAGCATTTATCTCTTTTCACATCAGGTTGGGGACGGTGATAGGCTTTTTTCTGATGAATGGTTCTGTTCTATTGAGATAGCTGTGAAGCGAGTTCTTCATTGAAAATTTGCTAAATTTACTTTACCAGTATCCGGAAACTTGATGGCTAGCTTCTGTGTACTCGATGTATGTATTACACTAAGATATAAAGCAGGAAGCGCACTTCTCTACTGGATATCAGTCTGTCCTACCGAATGTATCCTTAAGAATCAGAAAGGACTATGATACTTATTTATTCTGGTTTTTCTTTTCGCCTACTCACCTACTCATTGTATCCCGGACACTAAAGGATGAACATCATTAGAAGCTGTCTGTTTCTCTGGGGAAAGTATATATATATATATATATATATATATATATATATATATATATATTCATTATTCGTCAGTATGTTTTGGATACTACCTTTTTTAAAAATAATAGACTCTCTACACTGTCAAAGCAACAGAGGATGTTCACGGAGACTTAACAGGAAAGACGCAGTCCTCAAAATAATATTTTTCTTTGATAGTAAGAGTTCGAAGTGTTTTAGGCTATATTGATCTTGATGATTAGCAGAGGAATCCAGGAAGCGCGTTTCGTCCTATTTTAAACTCGTTAGCCGGATGTACCTGGACTCCAGTGAGTGATTTTGTTTCCATGGAGACTCCAACCATATACCCATCGCTTCAAACGCCAAAACTTTATCCACTAGGCCACTAAGATACGATAACCAACTCTCGTATCAGTTATTAATATTTGTTGATAAACGTATAATTCTCCGTTGTTATACTGGGCTGAATTTTTCGACGTCTATTGACACATGCGGATGCCTTCATATTGCCTGATTATTTATCATGATAATTTACTTGATTATGGCCTGCAGATGAATCCAGAACGCGCGTAAATTACGACAATGACTTAAGTTACGAAAATATACCCGGATTACTTTATGATTTTCATGACTATTAGTATTCATTCTAATAATTAAGCTTTCTTGAATTGTCGCATGACCTAAGTGCTCATTTTTCTCAAGTTTAAATAAATCCTAGTAAATACCTTCGTTTAATGTTATCAACCAACTGTGCAATCGATTAAAACAAAGTAACCCCTAGGAAAGTGAAGTGCAGTCTAAAGGATGAAAGTTTTGTAATGAGCTGAATGCCGCTTTATTATTTTTTTGTGTGTAATGCTTTCGATAGTCTATTTTTGTGTACCTTTATTTAGAGCTGTGGCTTATTAGTGTGTAGACTTTTTCTATTTTCAACTAAACAATCACAAAGCGAAACTCCCCTTTAATTATCGATCTTTGGACGTCTATTGTCAATAAGTGTGGTTTATCACCTAGTGTATAGATCTGTTGTGGAAGCTACTGCAGTCATAAAGATACAAACTAAAATGTGTAGCATCATTTGTACGAAACCAGACACGGTGATTATTAGACTTCACCAAAATAATTGATGAATGCAACTATTAAATGTAATCCCTTTTCAGATTCGAAGTAAAGTGGCAATAAAGTGTACTGTTGAATGTTGTAAACAGGTTATTATCATTTACAAAGATCGCTTTTTGCATCCAACTAACAGAGGTATGCTTTTAGAGAATTCATCTTCTGCGCACATGGTGAATAGAGTATACACTAGCCAAATAGATTAGATTTTCATCCAGTGTGTAAAACACTCAAGTGTCAGTCAGTCAATATCAACATAGGGTTTAGAATACTGCCTAACTGTTCAAAGTAGCACACCTCATAAATACACCAAGATCCAAAGTAAAACAAAAGATACAGAAATAAGAAAAGATATTCAATCTAAAGTCATAAAATTCCATAAGAAATGATTAAGAGGGGTTGGTAGGAATAAGGATATTAGGTATGACGATTTATATCAAGATAATTTATGAATGTATCTACGCCAGTGCAATTGATTCTCACCAGCCACTTATTTTGATTATCGCGCATACCGTACCTTAGAAATTAACATTACCCTAGCCGGCTCAGATCGACAGCCAAAGGTTACAAGGATTGATGTTTTTTTAACCTTTTTCTAACTCAAACCTACTTAAGCTTTCACGGCAGATGGGGGTGGGTTTGACAGTGACAAGGCATGCTTAGTATGTGTCCCAGCTACCTTAGGCGACGAAAGTTTACACCTTTATCAACTGATACGGTTTCTTCTGATTCGTGGCACAGTTCTACGATACACAGCCAATTCTACAAAGTATTCAGAGAGGAAAATCGACATGGTATTTGTACTAGTGACATCCTTTTTTTCATCTGGAGGTATGGTCGTTATACCATCCCTTCCGTTGAATAGTTTTTATCAGCAATTCATCTATTATTCGAACAAGAAACAACTAAATCAAAGTTATTCAGATTTCAGGCAAATACATTGTTTCCTTTGTAAAGAATGTGGTAAAATGCAAAATATCCTCCATCATAGGTGCAGTGATTATAAAATTTCGCTCCCAATTTAACTCTGTTATGTTCTTTGTATAAATCGTCCCGTTACTAGATCGATTTCATCCACACTGTTTTAAGTGGAGCATACATTTAGGGAACCATAACACCTCTTGAATTAAGCTACTGACAAGTAGATAAAATGTTTTAGTTGGTTGCAAATTCATGTCAAACTATCTTCATATTGTGATTTATATGACGTCACGGCTCAGAGTCCCCAAGGCAACTGACTGCATTATTAAGACACTTGAGAGAGAATATGCACTCTGAGTGTTGAAATCACTTGAGAATTGGTCAGTAAGAGGCAAATAGATTCTTCATGTTTTCATGTTACATTCAATATCGTGTAATAATAATAATAGTAATAATAATAATAATGGTTTGTCCCTTGGGTTCCTAGTGGAACATACGGCTTCAGTAGCGCGACGCCATTTCACTCTGTTTTCTGCAGTCTTTTGAACCTGTCTCCACCACTGCCCATAAGCTTTCACTTATTTTCTCACACGATCTCCTCCATGTCACCCTCATCTGGAAGGCACAACTCGTTTCCCATTTGGATTCCACTCGACGGCCTGACCTTGCGCATGATATCCTCAAACCATCTTCTCATTATATACCCAATCCACCCCCTGCTGCATACTTGTTGGTTGGTTCGTTGCCAGCCACAGTTCCTTGTTTCTTATTCTTATTATTCTGGCCATCTGACCTTTTGTATTATGTAATGGTGATCTTATTTTCATCGTCTTTTAGTGAACTGACTAGCAAATAGTTTAACTGAAAGCAACTGGTTTATAGCTGTATCAGACATTATATAGTTGCGTAAACTATAGCATATTTATGAAGTTGACTGTATTCTCCGAATGTAAGTGTCTATCTCTTAGATTGAGGTCTTTATTTTCCAGTTTTCAGTTTCAAGTATGTCGAGTTTACTTGCCTTTAGAATAAAACAATTTTAGAAGTTAGAAAAAAGGATGAATTTCAAGAAATGTTAAGCTCTTCTAAATACAAGTTCAAGGCGAGGGGTGAGGTATATTTGGAATAATAACAACAACTTTTGTTTCACCATTTATCCATAAGATGATATGATATCCAATAAAATCTATAGTAAACACTTTTTCTCCATTTGGCTTTTTGTTAAGTCAACACAGTGTTTAATGATCTGTTGAGTAGTGAGGATAGTGCATAGTTTCATCTTTCATACGTTGACGGATATTTGAATATATTATTACCCACTTTCATATCCAGACTTTCAGCACTTTAGTGTTGATATCGAAGACATTGTTAACGTAAATAATTATTGTATACGACATCATATTTATCTTAATATGCAATAACCACCTGAATTATATTTTTGTATCTTTTTTCTGCAAATTGTATCATTTTCATGGTATACTTCATATTTTTCTCTAGTTCGTTACTGATATGTAATTAGTGTTATATTGACAAATTTGTGTATAGATTGTTATTATAACTATACTAGTTGTTGTGCTTTCTCTTTGAACTTGTTTTTTATTTTAGTCTCAATTGAATCAGGATAAACATAATTTTTCTGGAGATCATACTAACCAATCAGATCAAGATAGTGATTACACTAGGTCTACAGAAAACATTACCAGTTTTATGCATAATGCAGGGGATTTTCGTGGTGATCGTACCAGTGATAATTTAATAATACGTGGTCGAGATTCCTCAACATCAACTAATCATCAACCATTGACATTAACCCGTCTAGTACTATGGACTCAAGAACCTCGATTAAGATTAAGATTTTTAGCTAGTTTATGCAGTGTATGTCATGATTTAAAAGGTGGTGCATTAGCTTCTAAAGTGTATGCCTACACTCTTCATGGAGATAATGAAGTAGTATCAATTATGCAACATTTAATGTCTAGTATTGCTTCAAGTTTATTGCATTTTATTAGTCAATGGATTTACGATGGTCAGTTAGATGATCCATATCAAGAATTCTTTATTGAATCTAATGCCTCCGTGAAAATTGAGCGTTTATGGTATGACAAATATAATCTTCGATGTAATATGATCCCAAAATTTATAACAGAGAATCAAGCAAATAAGGTAATACTGACTGTTTTTTTTCAACCCTTACTATAAGTAAAAAGCAGTTTCGATTACTTTATATAGTTTTCATAAAAGTATTTATTTGGTACTTGTAATTTTCCGTTGCTATACAATGTCGAATTACTCAACCACTGTTGAGTATGCAAATGCCTCGATACTACCAAATATTAACTATATTGTATGCATCTTGATGACTTGAAATGGAATCCAGAACGCGCATCTCACCTTACATCGAGCTTACGAGTCCCATATAAAACGAAACGTGTGTCTTGAATTTCATTGACAGGGTCACCTGGGGGTGTTGACGTGAAGTTACACTAATATGCGGTATCAGTCTGTTAAGTCACCAAGTTTTAATGTTAATCGTATAAAGAAATTTTAGGTCCTCATTGAACATGCATAGATTGATAGAAATTAATAGCTATAGCTACTGAATTTGAAGTTGCTTCCTTCTTAAGTTCTGTTGATGATTTTTTCTAGGATAACCATGAAAGCTTCACTATTCAACCATCCGTCTTAAAGAAAAAACCACCACCAAAAGTTGTTTCATACGGTGAACTTACTGCTACTACTACTGCTCTAGTTGTATAGGTTTTTCATTTTTACACTTTCTTACCTTCATTTCATTATCTACTTCATATGATGTGTATTCAATGATGTAGTATTTTAATTTTTCAGCAATATGGAACACTTTAGTAAAGTAATGATTAATTATTATATCGAAAAATGGATTTCATGTATGAGATTTAATCGATCTAATTTTAATATCATCATAATAAATCTGTCCCTTGGGTTCCTAGTGGAACATACGGCTTCAGTAGCACGTCTCCATTTCACTCTGTTTTCTCCAGTCTTTTGAACCTGGCTCCACCACTATCCAGAAGCCTTCACGTACTCCTCACACGATCTCCTGCATGTCACCCTCATCTGGGACGCACAACTCATCGTATCCCGTGTGGATTCCACTCGAGTGCGTGGCGCATGATGTCCCCGAATAGTCTTCTCAGTGTATGCCCAATCCATCTCGACTTTCTTCCGCATATTTGCTGGGCGATGGGTTGTTGGTTGGTTCGTTCTCAGTCAGCCACAGTTCCTTGTTGCTTATTCTTATTATTCTTGCCATCTGCTCTTCAGTATCGAGTGAGCGTAGGTGGCAGGTGTTGATAAATGTCTGTAGTTTGTTGGAAATGCTTCTCGTAACGTGCCAAGTTTCTGAACCATATAGAAGCATTGAGTTTACGTTGGTGTTGAAAATCGGGATCTTGTTCACGCTTTATGCTGAGTGGAGTGGAGTGCATTTCAGTGGAGTGCAGTAGATCTGTATACTGATTTCAGATCATTGTAGGAAGGAAGACCTGTCTTGGTATCTTTGCGATGCTGGCTGCTTTGACATTGTTGTCTGAGCGGCTGGCTATGGTTTAATCGATGCTGCCTAGGTAGGTGAAAGAGACAACTTGCTTTATTTAGATTTCTTCTGTTGATGGTGATCGGTGTTTGTTGTTGTTGTTGGTTGGTTGGTTGGTAGGTTGGGTATCTTCATCACCTCTGTCTTTTCTACATTCACTTGTAGTCCTGTTTTGATTGTTCTGCCTCTTCTGTCAACATGTTGGTTTTCGCCTTAAACATTGGACTTTAGACATGAGTGATGATCAGTGAAATGCAAATGTTTTTCTGTGGTCTTTTCATCGGTCGAGCTAGCGTATGCCCATCTTCTCACTCCTCATGGTTCGCTACATAATCCAGTTCACCACAATTTTTAAGTTGGGTAGTTTATAGGGATTTAGTGATTTTTCAAGTTGGTATTCAGTATGAACTAATATCAATTGGAGGAACATTGGAAACCTGGTAGCACTGGACAGCTGTTTTGCTCTAGTATGCGACTCATCAGCAGTGCCCACCCACGACCTCATCAGGGATCGAACCCAGAACGTTCCAGATTTCATGACCAGCAGGTTAACATTGAGCCACTAAGTTGTCATCCAATGGTCCATATTTCCAACTCCTATCAGTTGACGATATGGCGTGACCGTCACCCAATTTCATCTTTGAGTATTTGTCCTCACGGCCACCAGCTTCGCAAATTTTTGTGTATTGTATAAGGACAAAACATATTGTATGTTTCTATTTGAGATTTTTGGAATGAGCTTTGAACTAAGTGGTTGGAATCTATTCGTTTATTTTCTGGAGGCTTTCCCTTGTGATCAGTCCCTGACTGACTGACTGACAAAATTAACGTAGAACCTCACCTTCATGTACATTGGCTCAAGTTACCACACTTCAAAGAAGTACACAAAAAACATGTAAATAGAAAAAGAGTGATATTAAAGTAGACAAAGTTGTGTGACAGAATAAACGGTCTAAAGATAAAGGTTAGTGTCAAGTAGTGAATGCATCTGCGCCATTATGAGCGATTTTCAGCCGCATCACCAGGAGTCACCAACCACTGATTCCCTTCGTCTCGGTTACCTTAACCAGTCAGTCTACATCGTTCGACACGGCTCAGATCAAAAGTAAGAAACTTCATGAACTAGTGCCAAGTTTTGGCCTGGCCACTCTGAACCCTCTCCAACCTAATTCAACTAATCGATCCCAGAGGTGCAACAGTCCTTATGGAAGATTGGTGATACAAATTGAATAACGACATTTGATGCTTCCAATTATATTATGGTTCTTAAACTCGACACTACATACATAGTTTTCCACTGGGTTTATGAGCTTTACCACTATCTATATTGGATTTGAATCGGTTTGCAATTTTAAATATGGGTATCCAAACATTTAGGTAAATGCTTACAATAAAAAATCTGTCGAGTTACTAGTTCATTTTTATCACTTTTTAGAGATTCAAGTAAGTTCACAGTAGTTCTCATCACAGACTGATATTGGTTGGCAAACCATTGAATACATATGAGGACTGGATAACTGTCTTGTTCCATTTGAAGACTTCTCAGCTCTCTACACTCACAACTCTGTTTGAGATGGAGAACATAAAACCATCACTTCCTACAACTAGAACACTGCTACCCAGCAATTAAGTCTGAACTCAGTGACTCACATTTTCTAACTTTTCCAAATCACTATATAGCACAGTTGGTTGTTGTTCAACATCAGTATGTATTGAAAACTACTTTGAAAGCTATCATTTCTTTCCAGAAACCAATCAAACATAATAATACGGTGGTCCTTAGTGACTCATGTTGAAGTAAGCTTGCAAAAATTTTAAGGAGAAGCCCTGTAGTCAGTCAAGTTACCTGTGAGGATAGATATACACTTGACACTGAATAATCAGCACATTGTACGGTGAATTGACAGAAGCCAATTAGATTCAAATCCTATATCTGAATGATTTTGAATTCAATACTACATATAATCATTAGTACATAATATCGAGTAATTTCAAACTGGGACGAAACAACGTTTACAGGTTGTCAATGGCAAGGTCCTGAGTTCGATTCCCGATGAGGTCGTGGTTGCATACTCCTGAGGAGTCTCATACTAGGACGAAACATCCGTCCAGTTCTCCCAGGTTTCTTCATCTGATGTCACTCCGTGATGATTACTGCCTTCAAAATAAAATCCCCACTAGCCTCAAAGTACTTGTTAATTTTTTAGGTTGAAACTCATCATGGACTGACATTAGTTCGAGAGACGTTAGAAACATGTGAACACTGGACTGCTGTTTCATCCCAGCATGGGACTCTTCAGCAGTGCCCACCTCTGACTTCATCAGGGATCAAACTCAGGACCTCCCAAGTTCCGTGGCCAGCACGTTACCATTGAGCCACTGCGTCGAAATCCAGCTTCTAACAGTTGACGATATAGCGCGACCTCCATCCAATGTCATCGTTGAGTAACTGTCCTCATGTTCAACTTGGATGACTTCACCTGTCACAATTTTTCATTGGAACTTCAGGAATCACCTCTTGAAGCTAGTTACCAATGAGGAGTAAAATATTTTTATCTGGAAGTTTGTTGAAGGTTTATTAATTGACTTTTTAGGTAGGAATTCATCAACGACGACATTGGATGTAGGTTGCGCTATATCGTGAACTGATAGAAGTAGGAAATATGGACCATTGAATTCCGACCCAGTGACTAGCTCAATGGTAACGTGGTGGCCACGGGACCTGAAGGTCATGGGTTCGATCCCTGGTGGGGTGGGTGGGGTCATTGTGCGCACTGCTGAGGAGTCCTATATCAGGACGAAGCAGCTGTCCAGTACTCTCAGGTTTCCAATGTTTCTCCAACTGATGTGAGTCCATGATAAATTCCAATTTAAAAAATCAATTCATAAACCTCCACAAACCTCCAGATAGAATAGAATACTTGCTAATTATTAAAAAGTCTAAATAAATATACATGTACATATTTGGATAAAACCAATGCTATTTTACTACTACTCAATGAATTCTTAAGCGTTTGATATTACTCCTCGTCATCGTACTTCTATGTTGCAACTAGCAAAAGGAGCCAAACAGTGAATAGCTTTACTATTTGTTGTTGAAATACTTGTAATTCTACGTTGTTATACTGGATTGCAGGTACATCCAGTTGACGAGTCCCAATTAGTACGAAACGCAAGTCATGAACTCCTCCACTAACCATAACCAAGTAAATTTTAATGTGAATAACACTCATTGAATTATACTTTCTATCCTAGCTCACTTATTTTTTTGAAAATCTAGATAACCAGATTATGTCAAAATCCGTTACGCCTGAAATCTGGCTCATAGTCTTGTGTATAAACTTATACAGGGTTACAGGATTCGGATTAGTATTTATCATTTATTATTTCCTGAAGTGATGATAGTTATATATTTCTATCACTTTTCCCCTTTAGATTCTTATTACTGGCAAATCAATCAATTTTCTAATTCATGTTTGTGGTGAGAAACATGGCATTAAAAATCGTGAATCTATTCGTCATACACGTCTTAAAAAAGGTATGTTATGTTTATAATTATGATGATCAGTATCTTTTTCTCTTTTGGTCAAGTATTGATTCATTTGAAATACACGAAATTTTTTTTTCAAAGCAATACCTTAATTCAGAGGAATATATATTGTGTCTTTCATTCAAGATTACGTTCTACTTTTTTTTCTAATCTAGCGATCTAAGTTTATCCCTTCAGAGGATGATAATGATAAAATCCAGTTAAAACCGTACAAATGTATTGTGTAATATCTACAGATTAAGCAGATAAGTAAATATTCGTGTGTAATCGATTCACGATGGTTCTATACTGGATTGCTTTTTTTTACATCTACTGTTCAATGGTCAACAGTGATAACTGTGTGAAGCTGCGGAGATTGAAATATGATGCGTTACACCATGTGTTTCAATAGTTGATGATTTCTATGTCAACATATATATATATATATATATATATATATATATATATATATATATATATATATATATATATGCCTATATGATCAATTTAAACACATCTGGGTTAAAAGATAAGGGTGTTGACGACAGGTGTTGAGACCTGTCAACTAGTCTTGAAAACATTTAGATATTTCACTATATAATATGATTTCCTTTGTGAGCTGTTCTATTTCCTGTATCGCTACGAAACAATATAGAAGTAACTAAACTACTTCAACTTAGTTTTGTATGAGTCTTCCTGAAATAGACAGATAGATAGACAAATTTTTAGTGCAAACGCAGTATGCGGACTGATTACTTCAATACAGAACCAATTAGAATGGTGACTTGAGTTATAGGACTTTAAAATGATGCGGTAGAGGGTTTTCCGTTGAACCAAGAAGCAAATAATAACTATCGTAAGGATTTGGAAAGATAACAACTCAATAAATGTAGAACCGGAAGATGTCTAGTACTCACGTCTGTGAAGTCTATGACCGTTGGTCTAAACTGTATAGGAAGGTGTAGACTACGTAGTCGGGTTCTTTGAGATTATAGGAATCAGTGGTTGAAGAACCTTGGCGATATGACCTGGTTCCAATCACTCTTTTAGGTCTTCTCAAGTTTTAGCATTTTCATTAACCTCTCTCCTCCCACATACTTTTGTTAACTTTTTTACTACTTTCTTTATCAAATTGTACTTTGCATACTTCTGTGAAGTGTGAGACACTTGTGTGCGAGGTTGTACGTTGATCTTATCTGTCTATCTGCCTAACTATTAAATATTTTTGTATTTCTATCTACTACGAGCGATTTCAAGTGGCGCAAAGGCGTAAAACTTCGACTTTTAAGCAGTGGGTCTTGGATCCGAATCCCGTTTCATCCCCTCTAGGCTGGCCAACTGGATAATAAGCCATCATACAGTATGTGGGCTTCTAGCTTAGCTCACAAACCTGTATCAAGTTGAGTTGCATTGAATTCATTTTGAGTACTTCCACTTTGTTTTCACCGACCAACTACAAAATTACTAACCCCATCCAACAAATTTAGAGTTACTCACACATCTCACGTTAATATCCAGTTGAATAACATCAGTCTATAGTCTTTTTCATTCTACTACTGCTGCAGTCAAAGATGGTGATTGTAGCTCATTATATATGTGCATGTTGAATTATTCAACCCTAATGCCAATGTTCGAGAATCATTTAGATCATCTCCCTTCAGAAAATCTCTGAGAATTCAGAAGATAAATACTTGAAGCTACAGATTCCTGTCGCAATATAAGATTGTCAATCGCCATACAGTCTCGTGCTATTCGCATAAGAAGTTAAGCTGTTTGACAGCTAACTGGGAAGGGACATATTCTGCTAACTTATCTTTGCATTAAGTTGAATGTATCTCGAAATTACACGCAACTATCATAACCTTTCATGACAATCCAATCATTTCATCTTATTTATTATTATTATTATTTGTCCCTTGGGTTCCTAGTGGAACATACGGCTTCAGTAGCACGTCTCCATTTCACTCTGTTTTCTCCAGTCTTTTGAACCTGTCTCCACCACTGCCCAGAAGCTTTCACGATCTCCTGCATGTCACCCTCATCTGGGACGCACAACTCATCGTATCCCGTGTGGATTCCACTCGAGTGCGTGGCGCATGATGTCCCCGAATAGTCTTCTCAGTGTATGCCCAATCCATCTCGACTTTCTTCCGCATATTTGCTGGGCGATGGGTTGTTGGTTGGTTCGTTCTCAGTCAGCCACAGTTCCTTGTTGCTTATTCTTATTATTCTTGCCATCTGCTCTTCAGTATCGAGTGAGCGTAGGTGGCAGGTGTTGATAAATGTCTGTAGTTTGTTGGAAATGCTTCTCGTAACGTGCCAAGTTTCTGAACCATATAGAAGCATTGAGTTTACGTTGGTGTTGAAAATCGGGATCTTGTTCACGCTTTATGCTGAGTGGAGTGGAGTGCATTTCAGTGGAGTGCAGTAGATCTGTATACTGATTTCAGATCATTGTAGGAAGGAAGACCTGTCTTGGTATCTTTGCGATGCTGGCTGCTTTGACATTGTTGTCTGAGCGGCTGGCTATGGTTTAATCGATGCTGCCTAGGTAGGTGAAAGAGACAACTTGCTTTATTTAGATTTCTTCTGTTGATGGTGATCGGTGTTTGTTGTTGTTGTTGGTTGGTTGGTTGGTAGGTTGGGTATTTTCATCACCTCTGTCTTTTCTACATTCACTTGTAGTCCTGTTTTGATTGTTCTGCCTCTTCTGTCAACATGTTGGTTTTCGCCTTAAACATTAGACTTTAGACATGAGTGATGATCAGTGAAATGCAAATGTTTTTCTGTGGTCTTTTCATCGGTCGAGCTAGCGTATGACCATCTTCTCACTCCTCATGGTTTGCTGCATGATCCAGTCGAGGTTGATGATCGATGACGGTAGGCGGCAGCCTTATCTTACTCATGTCTTCACTTCAAAGGCGTCACTGAGCCATCTACCATTGTTGATCACTTGACATATGGTGTCTTCGTATTATTGTTGAATGAGGTTGCTATAGGGTTTGTGGTACACTGTAGTGTTTAAGTAGTTTCCAAATTACTTGTCGATCGACGCTGTTGAAGGCCTTTTCAAAATCGATGAAGTTGAGGTGAGGTAGAGAGTTGACTGCCATTCTACGCTCTTTCGTATGATGATGCGTAGCGTAGCGTTGCAGTTTGATCAGCACATGATTTGTATTTCATGAAGCCAGCCCCTTCCGGTCCTAGTTTTGAATCCAGTGTATATTTTAGTCTCTCTAGGATGATGCGGCTTAATATTTTGCTTGGGGTGGACAGGAGCGGAGCACGATTCCTCACCAGTTCTTGCAAAGACTTAGGTCTCTTTTGTTTGGGAGTTTGACAAGGTAGCTCTTCTTCTAATCTGCAGGTACCTTTTCTTCCTTCCTTGCAAACCTTCTGCAATAGTGGTGTGAGTATGTCCTCTGTTGTCTCTCTGTCTTTTTTCATCTTATATCAAGACTTTTCAGAATTTCTTTTCACCTTTAGTAATGTAATTGTAATAACTTGATTCATACGTACCTCATTTATGTTTGTGACACCAAGATTCAAGCTAGCCAATATACTGTTTATACAGTCATTACCTAGATAACTGATTATGAATCTATGGCTCATTGATTTTATCATTTAGTATTCAAATTGTTGATTACTAGTTTGAATCCATTTTACTTTCCGAAGTTTACGAAACCCAAGTATCATCAAAACTCTCTCTATCGGTAGGTGTAGCTCACTGTGTAGTATTCAGATATTTTGCTATGCCTTCTTATTTATTACTGATGTGACTGATCATATATGATATCCGATTCTACTTCTCAAAATATCAGCTTCTAGAATATTATGAGTTGAGATATGTCTAAGCAAGTGGTATCTTGTGGATACTGTCCAAAATGATGTATACTACTTAGAATCATAGATGAACCAATCAGAACAAGTTATATTTTTCTACTATGACGAAATTCACTGACATACATCATTATTGGGTTTATTGGCTTGTTTTGGTTACATCGCTTGATATGTTCACGCTACAAACGATCTCATTCAACTGGTATTTGTAGTGAGTCATCTTATCTGTTGAACCAGTTGACAGTCGTACATATCTAATAGAAGCAAGATGAAGACGTCTATGAGACACTTATTTATAAAATGTGCTTGATATACAGTATCAGAAGTGATGTTTCCATACTGTAGATATTCTAGGAGTTTTTAAATTCCAGCATAGTTTGACTTAGATGAGTTTGTCTCTCCGAATATTGATGATAAGTTTTCACTTTGTTATGTAGGCTTCAGTGCAGTGATGTGTAACTACCTAGTTAGTGCTGTATGTCTTTATTTTACCTAATTTACACGCCTTTGTAGCTTGAAAATCAAGCTAATTGTATGAACACTTCATATGAGAAACGTTTCATGTCCCCAGGGAGCTATAATCTTGCTACATAAATATTTAGTCGTCACTATGTTCTACCAAAGAGTATCAGATGTGGACAGCCAATTGAACTGCCTATTAGGGTGGAAAATAGATGAACAAACCGAAAAGTAAATGCTACAAATGATGAATACTGATGCATATCGTCCGATCCGACAGTAATAACTTGTATTTGACACTACTAACGAAACTGTACTTGAGAACACTGATAGCATCAATTGAAAACAGATAACGGTAAAATGTGAAAAAAACGATCTTAATTTTTCAATGGGATTTGCAACCGAGAAAACAAACGACTAAGTAGTCAAATTATCAAGGCTATCATTGATGAAGGTGCAACAAGTAATTTAAAATACAAAGGACGTCTTAAAATCAAAATTCTCTGAACTGAATTGAATGAGAAAAATTGGCAAACAATTGTGTCACTAAACAAACAGAAAAAAGATTACACTGAACTAATCGTTCAATAAATGAAAGCGTTTAAAACGAAAATATTTCTATACTCTTAACAGACAAAGGGTATGTCACAGTAGTCATAGACAGGGAGGATGATTTTGATAAGTCTGGAGATCCGTTCAAAGATGAGAATGTGTATAAGTTATCTGAGATCAATTCTATGCGAAGTTTGACAGATAGACCATGAAGAACTTCAAAGATGGTCAAATAACAAAACAAAGCCAACAGCGAATAAAATTTATTGAATTTATTATTTGGTTTTTAAGTTGACCAAACCAATAATTTTACTGTCAGAGGCCCTAACCTATAGTCTGCCTTGAGAACTTTCTAAGGAGTCCTGGAAAAGATTAATTTCATTCAAATGGACACTGGTAAATTAATGGTATCTTTCGATTGTGCAGCGTTATACATGTCGATTAAACTAGAACTGGTTAGAGATACTGTATCCTTTGTCTTCACTGATGATATAAAGCTTTCAGAACGTAGAAAACATTAGTGTATTTAATGGTACATTTTAGAAATCGATTAAAGTTACTCCAATGGGAACAATGGTATCTGGATTAATTACAAAAGCATAAAATCATAAATTTACTAGTAATGATATTGAAAACTCGTATCCACCTTATTACAGACATTTTTTATGAACAAAATGGAATACATTAGGAAGGACTCACAACTGATCCAAGAATATTTTCAACTATATGCATTTCACAATGGAGAAGGAATTGAGCAGAACAGAATAACATCTCTAGATTTTAATCAGTGAAGTGACACACGTAGATAGGAAGCGAGCACGAAGTTATCGAGTCCTCAGTTACAGTGGCAACAATCCAAAAAACCAGTTGTGTACATACTTTATTCAAGGAGTTAAAATACACATTATATGCTCTAAGTCTTTAAGCGAATATTGTTTGAAATAATTTCCGTGATACTGTTCTCCGTAAGTATATATTATTTAAGTAACTGTTTGAAAAGATGGATATCAAAGTAGATGAAGTTCTGTTAGAGAATAAACAATTTGAAGGTATAGCTTTAGAACATATCAGGGGGTGTATACATATATACCAATTTGTTCAATTTCAGCCATGTCGCCAGCAGTCGATCTCCAACTATTGTTTCTTTTCGTCTCGGGGATCCTAGCCAAGGACTTGATGAACTGGTTCCACTTCTTGGTTTCGCCACTCTGAACTCTCTTCCAGTCTGATTTAACTTCCTCTGGCATAACATTTTGAGGATAGGTGGCATGTTCAGTACATATCCAAATCATCTCAGTCGATTAAGATTTCATAACTTCAACGGTCACTTTTCATCATGTGATATTTCGGAGAATTATCTCAGTTTTTCGTTTCAACAAAATTTCCTACTATGGCTATCTTTGTCTTCTATCATAATTATGTTTATGTAAATATAATGCTCTGGAATCCTATCGAATTAGTTATAACTTCATCTTCACTCTATCTACTTAAATTTAAAAAGTCTAGCAGAAATACTGAATGGAAACACTATACTGTCTATAAAGGGAACAGCTCCACTTCATTGGTTACTGAATCTGGTGTGCCTTAAGGTGCCGTACTTTCTCCTTCTCTGTTTTCGTTCTTTTTGAACGATTCACGTTATTCTGTTGAAACTAATTGTATTAGGTAGGTTGGTGATCTGACGGTGTCTATTCCAGTTAACTCTCATTTAGACTGCTTTGAATTGAATGAATTCTTGTCTCTTATTGACCATTGGTTTCAAGTTACATTCTTCTAAATGTCAGATTGCTCATTTTAGCCTCAGGCGTAAACAAGACTTCTGTGAGCTGCTTAGGTCTCATGACTCCTGTTGTATTGATGATATTTGTGCAGAAAGTAACTCGAGTGTTAGCTATCTTGGGTTAAGTGGTACTTCTGACCTTGATTAGTTGTCTCATAGCTTGTTGACATGTAAAAAAATGTTTCGTTTAACGTATTACATAAAGAAACTGAGGCTGTCTGATATAACTCAACTTCTACTTGTACAATTTATGAATTTCTGCATTTTACCTATTCTTTTCTATTGTTCCCCTTTGATTTTTTCTGGTCTTCTGAAAAAGGACTATGTTATGTTGCGTAGGGCTTTGAATGCCGTCAGCAGGGTAAATGGTGTACCTCTGGCTCAACTGGTTAACACTGTGGTTGATCGACATTTAAATTCTAGCTTCAGTCATTTTAACTGACAGTGAGCATCCGCTTCATTCACAGCTCTCTCCATGTATCTCCTTAGGTAGGACAAGGAGAAACTACATAAGACTGTATGCTCGTACAGCTAAGTATAAGAATTCGACTGTACCTTACCTGGTATGCATATTTTGTGAGGAAAAAAGTGTTAGAACAGAAATCACATATCAACTTTGTAACAGTTAAAAATTCCATTTAAATAATTCAACTAACAATGTAAAATTTTCTCGTTTTTGATATTCTTCACCTTGAATCTTATTTGAGGTGGCAAGGCTACACACATAGACCAAACAGCCTCCACCACACTTGTGATTACTATTACTGTGATAATGAGTATAACCATCTATACACAGGTCCATATCTAGTATTGAGGCGGTGGACCATGATTTAGTAACTAGTTATACTGTGCGTTTGGTTAATAAGACTACTATTCTTAAGTAACGAACGGGCACTAATAAGTAGTAGTGTTAGTGTAAGGCATAGTTTGTGACCGGTGTGAGTCGAGGCGATAAGGCCACATAAAGTTTATGAACAGTTAACTAACACTGAGCAACCTCTGCATTCACAGCTGTCTCCTTGTATCTCCTTAGGGAGGACAAGAAGAAATTACATAAGACTGTATACTCGTATAGCCAAGTACAAGAATTTAACTTTACCTAGCACACATATTATGTGAGCAAAAGCGTCTTAGAACAAAACTCACATATCAACTTTGTAACAGTTAACAACCAATCTCATTTCAGTAATTTAACTAATAATGTAAAATGTTCACGTCATTATTATTATTATTATTATTATTATTATTATTATTTACATTACTTAAATCCTTGTAATAACACATTTAGGAATGTTGTAAAGGAGTATATATGTACCATATATTTTCTTATTGTTGTTGCAATATATCATGCAGAGGATTTCGAATTGTACCACAAGTTGTTTGGAATAAAGTGATCGTTATTATTATTATTATTGATGCTAATCATGAAAAAAATCAGGGTTCACATCCTAGTCTCTGAGCTTTTAAACTTGACTGTTTACTTGTCCATGGCATTCAGATTTTCAATCACTTTACCTCATTATTTTCTGTTTAACAGTTGAATCGATGTTTGAACAAGATTTGGATCCATCATTTAATCAAATGGTGTGTAATGTGTATAAGCAAACTAGTCAACATCTGCTAGAAACTTTAATAGAACGTTATCATTTCTTGGATCATTTGAAAGTGAGTAACGTTTTCTGAATATTGGTTAGTTGTTTTTATTCTATCAATGTAATCTCCTATTATGTTTATCTTTTGTACAGGAATAATTACTGACAAAATCTTTTGTGATTGATTGTTTATAATTTGACAGTATTTCATCAAAAATAGTTTGAAGTATATGATTTTTTGTTAGTTCTTTAGTGGAATGGGAAAATTCAGTAATCAGTAAGGCATTAAATAAAATAAGCAATGACTTAGTTTAACTGGATTTACATAATTGGTAGTGTTATATCTCGATTAAGGACTCTAATTCAATACTGAAGATCATATGGTTTGGTTCATAAGGTTTGAATCACCGAAGGGACCTTGATTTCCTCTTCGTTGTCAATACACCTTGCCATTGAGTCCCAACAAATACGAAACTTAGTTCTCTGACGTCAATCTGTAATAAATATCAACCTACCTCCAAATTGAATTCATTAGTATTTTTAAAATCAGTTACGGTCGTTGTTAGGAATGATTAAAAAGTGTGCCAAATTTCACTTGCTAAATAAACGTGCTTAAAGGTGGGTGATATTTCGGTGTTAGGCATCTTATGTGCCATTTCAGCAAGTTGGATTCATTCAAGATGTGTGAAAAGCTGAATCTAGTATGGAGATACTATAGTGCGTAGTCCAGCAACCATGTGCATCTTGGTTCACTAAGCGAAGCATACTACCTAGTGGCTGGTCAAACTCCAGCTAGTAAAGTGGTTGGTTTTCAAAGTTGTCATCCAAAAAGTTGAATGTCAACTTTCTAAACGTATAAGCCACAAAAAGTAACTTATCCGTTATTTTTGCGGACACTTTGATATCGATTTTTAGGAGGTTCGAAAACCAGAACAGTATACAGTTTCATGTAGTGCTACCAGAAGACAGCCTTCACCTCAATGGTTTAGTGTAGAATAGTAAACATTGGTCATAGAATTCCTGTGATTGACTGTGAACTTCAAGAGTAAAAGAGATTGAAGCAACTTCAATTGAACTTCTCATATTTTTGACCTTAGACATCAGTATAAGTTGAGTCTATGTACTCAAAGCAATTTCCTTTGTATAGAATACTGACAGGAAAAATGTCTAGTGTCATCTATTCACAGTTTTGGCAGTATTATTAGGATTAGAGGTGACTTCTTTATAATAAGGGTTTATATAAGTGTCTATTGTGATGATAAAAGCAGTTGTCTTTTAGTCTGGTACAGCCGATGGAACCTATTCAACTGAAAGATGTTCTTGGCAAGCGAAAAATGGTTTTCATAGGGTACCTTTGAAGGGTACACTACACTAAATCTCAGACTATCATATGTATATTAAATGAATGAAATACACTCAAGAGTAACCTTGTTCAGACTCGTGCAGTAGGCAGTCAACCACACCTATTGTATGTGAACTAGTGATAATACTTGACTGCCTGAATCTCAGTAGGTGGATCGGAGCCGGGGCTCCTTATCCAGTAGTTGAAAGTCATCTCCCTAATCCAATGACCCATACATCGAAAAATCAAACCATATATATATAACTTGGTCAAATATCTTACTGTTTTTCACCATGACTAATTCTACCTTCTTAACCAATGTCTGTATACATTTCTTCATAGGCTACGAGAAAATTTTTACTCCTTGGACAAGGTGATTTTATTCAACATCTTATGGATTTATTGGAGTAAGTTCTCAATCATATTATGTATATATCAGCACATTTGTGACCCAGAATAAATCTTTTAGTTCACCTCTACTCAGCTGGCCAGCTCGAAGTAGGTGGAGTGAAATTTAAACCCAATGACTGTTGATTGACACAGGTTTTCCTCACCGTTATGATGAATCAGTAAACTTTTTATTGTAATTATGTGATGTGTATTATGCATGAAGCTGTGGAACCTCGCCTGGTTAACTAGTTCACTAGTTACTAGCCGGTCCTAAGCCCGGGTAAAGAGGGAAGGTTGGGCATAGGGCTAGCAACCCTACCCCGTAAAACAAATCTAACCGCTAAAGAAACTTCAAAGCACAAACTATATATAAAACATGAAAACAAACTTATTCCCCGCTGGAATCGGAGAGGCGAAATGACGCCAGTTGGTGAAAGCCTGACTTCGGGAAGCCAATTAGCCGGGCCGATGTGTCTTCTCTCGATGAAAGCGAAAGTAAACGTGGGGACATGGAATGTCCGTACGATGTTTGAACCCAGTAAGGCACCCCAGATTGCAAAGGAGATGAGAAGGTATCCCATTGAAGTGCTTGGGATTTGCGAAAGCAGATGGAATGGGATTGGACTCTCCAAACTGTCAACTGGAGAATCAATAATCTACTCCGATATTGTCACCCAGACGACAACCACAAGCACACTGAGGTTTCCAGTGGCTATCATGATGTCCTCAGGAGCATCGAAGGCTCTCATGCAGTGAGAACCAATCTCCTCCTGCAGGATCATGACAGCAAGATTCAACTCAAAAGGAAGAAAGGTCACAATCATACAATGCTATGCACCTACAAATGACGCAAAGCAAGAGAAGAAGGAGGAATTCTACAGACAACTTCAATCAATACTGGACAAGACACCACTCAAGTTGGCGATATCAAAATTCATTCTAATGGGAGACATGAATGCCAAACTGGGAGCAGACAATACAGGAAGAGAACTAACCATGGGTCGAGAGGCGCTCGGTGAGGTGATGAACGAGAATGGAGAATCGTTTGCAGGATTCTATGCATTCAACGATTTGGTGATTGGAGTCAGGCAGTGTGTTCAGGCACAAGGATATCCACAAAGCGACATGGATTCGATTTCACCAGATGGACACACTAAAAATCAAATCGACTTTATCTCAATCTCAAGAAAATGGAGACGCAGTCTACTTAACACAAGGTCAAGAAGAGGAGCAGATGTAGGTTCAGACCACTATCTAGTGCAAGGAATCTACCTTCCAAATCAAGTTAAAAGCCTTCAAGGAAGCTGGTGATAGACCTCAATTCAAGTACAACACTCGGAAACTGAAGGATGAAACTGCAAAGGAGATCTTCAAAGCAGCCATCAAGACAAAATGGGAGATATCGAGGAACATCCCTGAAGAAACCTGTGTAGAAGAACACTGGAAGTCTTTGAAAGCTATGTGGAAAGAAACCTGCACAACAGTATTAAGAAGGAAGAAGAAAGAAGATAAGGAATGGATCTCGATGGATACATGGAAGCTGATAGAGCAGGGAGAGGAGGATGGTGAAGCAGAAGATAAACCAGTGCAAGGACGCTCAACGACAAGAGGAACTGAGCACAATGTATAAAACACTGAACAAAGAAGTAAAGAAGAGTGCACGGAAAGACAAAAGACACTTCTACGACACACTGGCAAGTGAAGCAGAACAGGCTGCAGGTAAGAGAGACCTGACGACATTGTATCAAATAACCAGGTTGCTATCAGGGAAGAGATCAACACAGATGAAACCAATAAAAGATGATGACGGAAATTTAATTACGAAAGAAGAGAAACAGAGGAAACAATGGGCCGACCATTTCAAGAAGCTCTTGAATCGACCACCACCTGCACTTCGTCCATAAATGCCACCTGCAGCCACAGAACTACAAGTGAACATAAATCCTCCAACAAAAATGGAAGTCCTGAACGCCATAAAGCTACTGAAATGTGGGAAAGCAGTAGGACCAGATGGAATCCCGCCATAAGCACTGAGAACAGACGCAGAGACAACAGTGGACATGCTCACACCACTATTGCAGAAGGTGTGGAAGGAAGAGAAGGTACCGGACGATTGGAAGAAGGGTTACCTTGTCAAACTGCCGAAGAAGGGAGACCTCAGTGTTTGCAAGAACTGGCGCGGAATCACTCTCCTGTCCACCCAATACAAGCAAAATATTAAGCCGCATCATCCTGGAGAGGCTTAAAGATGCACTGGATTCAAAATTACGACCGGAACAGGCAGGCTTCAGGAAGTACAAATCATGTGCAGACCAAATTGCAACGCTACACTACGCATCATCATAGAACAGAGTATAAAATGGCAATCAGCTCTCTACTTCAACTTCATCGACTTTGAGAAGGCCTTTGACAGCGTCGACCGAGAAGTAATTTGGAAACTGCTTCACTACTACGTAGTACCGCAAACCTTTATCTGCCTCATTCAACAACTATATGAAGATGCCACATGCCAAGTAATCCACAATGGGAAGCTCAGTGATGCCTTTGAAGTGAAGACAGGAGTGAAACAAGGTTGCCTACTATCCCCCATGATATTCCTAATTGTGGTGGACTGGGTCATGCAGCAAACAGTGGGCAGCGAGAAGAGGAGGGTACACTGGACTGCGGAAAAGAACCTAGAAGATCTGGATTTCGCCGATGACTTATGCCTAATGTCACATAAACTTGAAGATCTGCAGGCAAAAACTAACAAGTTGATAGAAGAGGCAGCGAAGACAGGACTTCAGGTGAATATAGAGAAGACAGAAGTGATGAAGATACCGCACCAACAACTCCAACAACAACAACAACAAACTCCAATCACCGTCAACGGGAGAAACTTGAAGGAAGTAACCTCCTTCACTTATCTAGGAAGCACTGTTTCAACTACAGGCGGGACGGACGAGGACGTCAAAGTCAGAATCGGAAAAGCGAGACAGGCGTTCATTAGCCTGAAACCAGTGTGGAGATCTTCTGCACTCAGCATGTGGAACAAGATACGGATTTTCAACACCAACGTCAAGTCAGTGCTTCTGTGTGATGGTTCAGAGACTTGGCGTGTTAAGAAAGGGATTTCCAATAAACTATAGACATTCATCAACAACTGCCTACCTACCCTGGCTCGTTACTGAAGATTAGATGGCCAGAATAACAAGAATATGCAACAAGGAACTCTGGACGGGCAACGAACCAACCAAGAACCTATCACCCAACAAATATGCAGGAGGAAGCGGAGATGGATTGGGCATACACTGAGAAGGCTGACTGAGGACATCACGCGTCAGGCCAGTTGCTCGAGTGGAATCCGCATGGGAAGCGACGAGTTGGACGTCCGAGGGTGACATGGAGGAGGTCGTGCGAGGAAGAAATGAGAGCTTCTGGGCTGTCGTGGAGCCAGGTTCAAAAGATCTCAGAGAACAGAGGTCACTGGAGACGTGCTACTGAAGCCCCATGTTCCACTAGGAACCCAAGGGACTAATAATAAAATAATAATAATGAAGCTGTGGGTCCATTGGTTTAGCGAGTTGACCTTCAACCAGTGGCTCATGAACTGGAATCCACTGTACCTACTGAGATCTAGGTAACCAAGCCGTACCATTAACCTTCAGATAGACAGATAAAATCAACGTGTAACCTCGCACACAAAAGAATCGGTTCAAGTTGCCACACTTCACAATATATATGAAGAACAAGTGGATAGAAAAAGTTATATGAAAGTGGGCAAAGTTGTTTGAGAGAATAAGGAATTTAAAGATAAAAGGTTAGTGCGGATATTCGAGCTTTAGAAGACGTCAAGGGATGTATATATCTGTGCCATTGAGGCCATTTCACTATAAGTTGTCAACCACTGATTCCTTTTATCTCGAAGACGTCAACCATGCACTCTGTATCTCCCTATATGACTCAGACCAACAGTAAAAGATTTCATCAATTGGCACCAGGTCGTGGTCTAGTAACTCTGTGCTCTCTTTCAATTTAGTCCAACCTTCTCCTAGAATAGCACGTCAAGGTAGGTGGTGACTTGCCGTGCTCAGTACATGTTCAAGCTATCTTAATTGACTAAGGTTCACAACCTCATGAACTCTATTAACCCTGACACAATAGGTATGGTTCATTGTTTTACTGCACGATTGTGCACAAGGTTGCTGTGTGGAATCTAATTCAAGATTGTTGCATAAGTGTCTCTAGACTTGTACTCTATGATGTGTGCTAGATTCAAATCTAATCATGATCCTAGCTAAGATAAATAGATGACATTTCTTTGGACTTTCGATCATTTCATTACAATACGGTCACATTGTGCAGTATCCTTTTTTATACTTTACATATTAGCATAAAAGTGAAGATTCGAAGCTTATCCATTCACATTTCCAAGTTAAGCAGAATGGATAAATTTGGACACCAGTTAAACAACCTAATATGTTGACATCCATGTTCGATCAGAGCAGTTAAGATGAAAGGACTTCGATATTTTAATGTCAACAATTTCTGTGGAAAAATTGGTTTTTAAGTATCGTCATATTTAGCTAATTCAATCCTGAAGATTTTCATGTCTTTTAGTAATTTGATATTTAAGTGAAGGTTTGAATAAGCGTAAGCAATATTATTCGTAAAATTAAGTTTTCTCTAAAGCTAGTGGATTGATTCATGAATAGAAAGAATTATTATTATTTTATTTGTCCCTTGGGTTTCTAGTGGAACATGCGGCTTCAGTAGCAAGTCATCACTTCATTCTCTTCTCTACAGTCTTTTCAATCTGGCTCCACGACTTCCCACAACCTTTCATTTCTTCTTCACATGATCTACATGTCACCCTCAGCTGGGACGCCCAACCCGTCGTTTCCTCTTTCGGTCCCACCCAACGGCCTGGCGCATGATGTCCCCAAACGGTCTCCTCAGTCTATGTCCAATCATATCCATCTCCACTCTCTTCTCCTGCATATTTGTTGGGTGATAGGTTGTTGGTTGGTTCGTTCACAGCTAGCCACAGTTTCTTGTTGCTTATTCATATTATTCTGGCCTTCTGATCCGATGTTCAGTATCGAGTGAGCGAACGTAGACGGTAGCTGTTGATGATGTATTTCTGCAGTTTGTTGCAAATGCTTTTCGCAAGACACCAAGTCTCTCAACCATCACATAGGAGCACTGACTTACTTGACTGAATTAGTGTTGAAAATCTGGATCTTGTTCATGCTTTATGCTGAGTGGAGTGGAGTGCAGTAGATCTCTATACTGATTTCAGATCATTGAAGGAAGGAAGACCTGTCTTGGTATCTTTGCGATGCTGGCTGCTTTGACATTGTTGTCTGAGCGGCTGGCTATGGTTTAATCGATGCTGCCTAGGTAGGTGGAAGAGACAACTTGCTTTAGATTTCTGCTGTTGATGGTGATCGGTGTTTGTTGTTGTTGTTGTTGGTTGGTTGGTTGGGTATCTTCATCACCTATCTTCTTTACGTTCACTTGGAAGAAGTTCCGTCTTGGCTACCTCTTCTGTCAACTTGTTATTTTCGCCTGTAGGTCTTTGAGTTTATGTGGCATTAGATCCCAGTCATCTGCGAAATCCAAATCTAGGATCTTTTTCCTGGTCCAGCGTATACCCATCTTCTCGCTCCTCACTGTTTGTTGCATGATCCAGTCGACCACAATCAGAAAGTGCATCGGTGATAGTAAACAACCTTGTCTTACTCGTGTCTTCACTTCAAAGGCATTATTGAGCTGCTTACCATTGTGGATCACTTGGCATGTGGTGTCTTCATATTGTTGATTGAAGTTGCTAAAGGTTTGTGGTACACCGTAGTGTTTAAGTAGTTTCCAAATTACTTTTCGATCGACGCTGTTGAAGGCCTTTTCGAAATCGATGTTGTGGTACAGAGTTAACTGCCATTCTATGGTCTGTTGATTCATGAATAAAAACAACTGTTGTTATGCAATTACTAATATTTCGGCTCAGTGTAACAAGTTATCAGGAGCATTCATTAGTACTCTCATGTTACTTCGATTCGTAGAATGAGTATGTTGAAAATTGAAATGCAAGATTTTTTGCTAAAATAGTTAAACAAAAATTTTTGTTAAGACATTTATTAGTGCAGTTCTTTTACTTAAATGATAGCAGTCAAGTTAACATCGAAAATGATTAGTCCACACACCTTACACAATAATATTAACCAGACAGATTATTCTGATAATTTATAAGTTGACTATTGTGTCTGTTTAGTTTCATTTGTTTGTCCTTTACTTTATAAATCGGTGTCTTCTCTGAAACATTTCTGGTAGTTTAGCTTCCATTCTCTAATTCAGACTGTTACATTGTAATTATTGAAGCTTAGCCTAAGCTTTGTTAGTTTGTTTTGGTATGTAGCCGTGTGAATGAAACGTTAGTCATGAGAGCTGAGTGATGGAGATAGACGATGACTGCCTTGTGTTACTTCAACCACGTTACCAATAGCTTCTGTTTATCATCGCATCTTCATCGTCTTCTTTATTTGTTTGTTATGAGAACACAAACATGGTACTGCATAGGTATCAGGAAATGCATCACACAAAAAGTAGGTAAACAATATTGTGAAGACATAAACAATGGGAAGTGTATAAGAAGTGTGTTCTTGTAAAATACATTCCAAGCAAAACATTCAATACTTTTCAGCCGCAGAAGATAAAGGGAAACTACAGTATGACTGACACTGGTTTCGATTCTGAGCCATATCTGATAACGTCTCAAGTCATTGAGCTAGGCGATCTCTCGGACCCCACCCGGGGGTTCGTGACGCACCAGAAGATGCCAAACCGATACAACTATCATTCCACAGCGCTATATCATACGCTGACCACCGCTCTGGTTGTTCTATTAATTCCTAGAGCTAACAAACAATGAACGGTATGGAAGCCGCTAGGACGACGTGCGTAACACAAATCCAAGCCACCGAAAACGGTGTTTCCAGATGACTTCATTTGTTGAGTGATGGTTGCCATCATGTCGAAACACACACTGTTGTACCTAAGAATTACTTACATGGTATTGCCCCCGGGTTCGAGCAATCCTGCGGAGAAAACGATGATCGAACACACAGAGTCATCGCATATCCTCAGTCCGTAGAGGCCAGATTTCACAGATGTAGAACAGAACTGCTTACATCAAAGCGTTATAAACCCGACCTTTTACGGTCAAACTAACGTCATGACAGCGACAAAAATGATCTAGATTGGTGTTAACTACTTTGGCTTTCGACATGTAGTTAGAAATTTCATCACTCATCGCATCTATCTAGTGATGGTGATGGTGAACGGACAGTTATGAGTTGTTTATTCATACAAAAGCCAGGCAACACAGATGATGTAACATCAGGCTGATAACTACTTAGTAGTCATTATCTTAAGGTCAGCTATGACCCAGGTGTTTTTTGAACGTAAATGAAGTTATCTCAGGTGATCTAATCAAAACAAAAATATAATTAGTTAAAAGTAAATGCTTACTTTATTACTAATTTTTATACCGATTTCTAAAAGATGCATATAATAACACAATAAACATATTTCTAATTACATTCCTGTATTTGATTAACTGATTGTATTGCTCGTTTACTGTATACTATAGATCAGTTTAATTTTATTTTGTTTTGAAATTTTCTTTAGTTCGAATTTAAATAAATCATGCTCACAAATAGTAATTAGTCGATTAAGTAGTATATTGGAGACAGCTATACGTGATACTAATGCACAATATGAACAACCAGAAATTCTTCAACGTTTAGATGTTCGCCTTTTGGATATATCTTCACGTTAGTTTAACTAGAAGAGTTCTCTGTTTACTTTTATTGTTTTTACTTGAAGTTCCTATTTCCTTCATGTTGAAAGTTCAATGTGAACAATAAATATTCAAAAGAATATCGTTTGTTCATTTTGTATCTTATTTGTTGGCTAGCAGTGGAGTCCAGAATGTGCATTTCATCCTATTTGGAGCTCGTCAGCTGGATGTACCTGCTTCTTAGTGATGTTATTACCACTGGGAATCGAACCCGGTATCCACTGCTTCAAGCTCCAAAGCGTTATACACTGTCACTAGAGCGCGTTCATATTTGTTTTGTTTTTTTTAAAGTTGCATAACGTTATTGTCCAGTGCTTGATAGCGGTTACTTTGACGTGGTGGTTAGGTTTGCATATCGCAGTGACCCAGTGAGCTACTCTGGCTGGAATGCTTATTCCATCGAAGTCCTACCATTCCGGATAAGTCTGTTGGATAGTGGTAAGATGAAAAGTATTTATCATTGTAATGTAAATTACTGTACTGTGATGGAAGTGTGACAGCAGTAAGGTGTTTCCTTTGGTTGACCACCAGAGCCACACTGATGCTGCCTTCCCTACGAGAAGGGGGAGAGCTAGAAAAAGTCGGCTTCAAAAATAGGACACGCACGGTCTCCCGGTACCCGCGGTTTTGGTTTTCTGTACTCGGCGTTAGAACAACTAAACCTCAAAACAACAACCCGCAAAAGACCAAATGTGACAGGCCTCAAGCAGATGTTCGATAGGCTCTGTGGCCATACATATCTTTTTCGCTTTCATTTACCTTAAGAAGAAATAGCCTTATATGGTGTAAACAGTCTGGAGATGTTAACCGCACGCTTGCTTCCAGATTTTGTCAGTCAGCTGGATGCGAAACATTGGAATTATTTTATTTCAAATACACTGAGATTTGTCCAAATACAACTTATATTTTTCTAGTGCTTTATGTGTACTATTGGTTTGTTAAGATCTGAACTATAAGATCGTCTCCAGGTGACCTTCAGAAACTTCATTACTATCTTCCAATTTTGAACTGATCAACTCAAGGGCTATACTATATCCCTGGGGATTAGAGTGCTGAATCAATTGTTCTTCTGGGATCAGTTGGATCTCTTGGTGTATACTACATATTTTTCTGTCTTCTAAATCTTCACTTTGAAGTTATTATATGTTCAGTTATTTAGGCTTTACTATCGAACATATTGTTTTTATGCGCACGTCATTCTATGGTCAAGTTTCATTCTTGATAAGTTTAAGCAAATTCAGACAAACTGGATGCTGTGTTCATGGGATTAAATTTGTCAATATCCAGATAATTGATCTTTTCACTTCACGTTTAGTGCAATGACAGAAAACTGTTTGTACATTGAACATTTTAATGTATGACTTTAAAAAATATTCATAGTATAAAACAGTAAATCTTTATAACAGATGATTTTTATATGTAGCAAGTCTTACTTCTCAACAGAAACAGATGTACAGTTTCTCGATCTGTATGTAACAATATTTCGAATAGGTTTGTTTCTGATGGAATCTCACAACGGGGACATAAAAGATTAGTTCAGTAATTGTCAACTCACACCATCTGTGACCTATGGAAGAGTTAAAAGTGTTGTCTGTATCATATGGCACGGTGAACGTCAAGCGTTCTAACGTATTCTTACGTATATAAGTACATCAAAGTAGTATATACATTAGTTGTAGAGGCATACGTATTTGCTTTGGTAGCCAATTTTCACACGTTCGAAGTTAATGCCTGAAAATGTTTGGGGTGCGTTTATTGTCGCTCGCATCCAAATTGTTGTCCCAGTTGTACCTTGTTTAACAATAGAGAGCGAAGTGGTTGAGTGCTTTGAACACTTCACTTACCTGGAAAGTTGCATCAGCTCAGGTGGGCCAGTGGCCGACGAAATCTCTGCATGGATACAAAAGGTTCCATTAACTTTCACCAAGTTACGCTACCTATGCCACCGCTGCCATAACTGATTTTCGATTAAGTGCCGAGTGTACTGTGCTGCAGTTTACTCTGTTTCTACTGTATGAAACACGACCACTAAAGGTAGAGAAGATGAAAAAACTTCGGGTGTTTGACTATCGTTGCGTTCATAGCGTATGCCATGTTTTGTGCTGTCACCACGTGAGTAACACAAAAGTAAGATGTAGAGTTTTAAGGAGGAGAGGAAAGACAGTTAATGTGGTTGTAAACCGTCATCGACCGAGATGGCTGCGAAATGTGTTATGCATGCCCAACCACCGTCTGCTTCGTCACAAAATGTTGGCCGAAGTAGGTTTAGGCTGAAAAAAGCTCAGGGAAGCCAGACTAACAACAGTGCATGAAGTCCTTGATTATTCGTTTAAGCCATGTGGGGCGATGCAGACTAGTCGGTTTGCGTCCACGAGACAAGAGAAGCCAGTGATTACTGGAGACTAGGTGATATAGCTGAGAACCGATGTCATTGGCGAAGATGTACACACATTATCATTATCTTAACCGCTATACTTATTCTCACTACTTTCTTGTCCCTCTTTTTTACTACTTTCTGCTTCTTCTGACCAATTTTTCTTTCCCCTTCATCTTCCATCTTACTACTTTGCTACTTGTTTTGTTGATATGAGGTATGGCAACTTGGGCTGTTACGCAATAATGACTGGTCCTATATTGATTTTGATCGATTGATTGAATGGTTGTAACCTACTGAGACAGTGAGATGTTTGGAAACTGATTAGTTCAATAATAAAATAATCGACAGTTGCATGGATGATCACAGGTTTGAATCGCAAAGGGGTAGCAATGATAATATTTCTGAAGTTTCGAATATTCTTTGTTGTAGTGAATGGTAACAATTATGATATCAATCTGCACTACATTTTTTTCTGAGTGGCAGATAGCAGAAATATATCAGTGAAGTGAAACTAACTATAACGAAATATACCACTGAATAAATTAATCTATAGATTTTGTCAATCAAATCAGAGTTTTATAATCACTGAACGGTGGCTTCGTGTATTTCGTAGCTGAGCTCATTAAGTTGTTCAGTAGTATATTTGATTAGTTTGTGACACTTTTGTATTAGAGGTTACATCATATGATCTTTTCTCAGTGATGTTTAAAAGAAATCCTGTTCACACTACAGTTGGAAGGCAATTGAAAAGCTACACTCAGCAGCTATCATCAGCTATGTCAACATGGACCGTACGATATGTAAATCATTTGCAAATTGATCATCCTATTGCAATGAACATATAAATGGTTTTATATCATCATAATTCCTAATAAATTTCTTTTTCCTTTTACGTAATGTATGTATTTATGTATATACAGCTCAAGATACTGGATGGGATATATTTTCATTGGATTATCATATTGACGGTCCATTGGCTACAATATTCACAGATAATTGTCGATTTATGTATTTGTTTTCATTCAATTTTCTTTGGCGTGCTAAACGAATGGAGTTCACTTTAAGCAACCTATGGAAACAACAATTATGCACTACACGTTTAGGATATGGTTTACAGATTGATTTAGCTGTAGTACTTCATTTATTACAATTATTTGCTGCAGAAATTCGACATTTTGTTCAACAATTACAATATTATATTAATTTTGAAGTAAGTTTTATATATGTGCTCTACCGTTATATTGCTGAACCACTTGTACTTGTCCCATACTCAATGCTGTTCTGATATGTTGACGTCATTTCAGTATTAATGTCTGCTCGTCGTTAGCAGTTGTTGTTAATCAGACCTGGTAAGGACTATTGGAAGTCTCACCATTGTAATTTAGGGACTCACTCCAGATCATAGTGAAGAGCTTTCAATAACTTCTCCATTTATCACCTCAAAAGGTGTGTTTAAAAGCATGCTGATCAGAGGATGCTATGGCATTGGTTGCTTACTTCTGTGGTGTTGGTACCGTACTATGTACCATAGCTAGTGTTACTCTGGTAGACCAGATCGACGTCAAAAGTAGCATGTATCCTGTTAAGATATAAAGTTCTATCTGAGTAAGATATAGCTGGAAAAGGAAACGATATCTCTTCATCTTTATTACCTGCGCTGCAACAGACTTCATCCTACATATATATTTAAAGATCCCAAATCCCAAAATCAAATCCAGATCAACCTAGGACCAGGCATTACTGCATAACGGTCCGAGTTGCCACACCTCATATCAGTACATCAAGTAAAAAGGCAGTGAGGCGCAGGATAAAGATAAGAGAATGCAGTCAGAAGAAATATAAAATACGAGAAGGGAGAAACAAAGAATGAGAAGGTGGTGAGATCCGGTATATTTAGATCATTCGGAGATGATGGTGGAACTCATCTCATATTTAAAGATGAGTTCTACCATCATCTCTGAATGATCTAATATAAGTGGGTTCGGTAAATATAATGTCGCTAACCAGGGACTTAAATGCTCAGTTCATCCATGTAGCCTCAGAAGCAAGTGGTTTATGCAACCATTGCGAACTATTCAGTTGCGGATCTGACAATAAAGGTTGTAATCGGCTTTGTTGCCAGCACCAATCTCCACATTTCTCGCCGCTGTGCGACTGGACGTCCTCCTTCTGCCATTCAAGTTTGGACTAAAACAAATCACATTGCAATCAGCTATTGATCGTGTTAGTGTACCCAAGATTGCCATAACTGTTTCTTGGACATGTGTGAAGTGTGTTAACAATTTTGTACATCCTAAGTTGATTCTGAGACTTGGTGGATTTTGAATACGTTGATTTCACCTAGTATTACAGCTAAATAAGAAACCGATCCAGATCATATATACTACCTGTTGAGACTAGAGGAAGTATAAATGAATATGGACTGCATCCACAGGACGCTATGAAATTGATGAGTAAAGAAGCTTGTGTCTTTGAAGTACGTCTGGCTAAAAAATACAGGATGTTTGCATATTCCGTTCAACTTGTCGATGCTTGTCAGTGTATTTGGATGGATATATGGTAGAATGGTATGTCACAGTCCGGTACACAAGACATCAGGTAGCATTTAAGGCCTGTATGACTTAGTTATAAGAATTAGTGAGTGATATAGAACTAGCATTTGCATTTGATAATGGTGCCTCAGGCTATGAGAACCACCGGCAGTAAGAAACATTGTTTCATTAAAATAGACTCTGAGGTAGATGGTATGTCGTCTAACAATCGTGAAAAACTTCTGGAACACTAATTGAGGGAGTACTTCAAAATAGAATTTAGCTGACCTACTCTGGCATTTTCAGTCCGCTACCGTTTGCATCCAAAATATTAGTTACTTTCATACTTCACAGGCTTTGCCAAACATTTAAAAAGCTGATTCATGAGCCGATAGCTCATTTTCTCTGAGGTCGTTGATGCATTGCTCAAATATTTATTCTGCATCAGAAGTTCAAACACTGTCCTACAGATTGTAGGTTAATAATTCTTATGTTTCCTGACAGTAGGGGTTTCCTTCAATTCATTAAACAGGACTATATTCTGGAATCATGTCCTTTAGAAGGGTCTCTGAGAAGTTTTCTAACATCAAGATAGTTCTGCCGAATACTCGTCAGGTAGGCTGATGACAAAACCATCTTTATCCCATGTTCTGAACTTATAATGGGGCTAGGTGGGCTTTTCCAAATTAGCCGTCCCTCTATAATTTGTATCAGTAATATTCTCGAGACATTATGGAAGGGGATAATGCGTGTATGCACTTGCACCATTGTGATTAGTTCTGAGTTATGCTATCTAGAGTACTATAACCAGTGATTTCAATTGTCACACGGACTGCTACAACCTCAGCAACTGACTCACCTCTTCTACCAAAACTCTACACCTAATTTCTGCATTAATGACATTATCGTACTATGACACACAGACTATGCTAAAAAGGCAACATTAGTCGAACGGATAAAACCTTTCATTGCTTCCATGTTTAGTGGCTATTTTTCTCAGCTATATAGTAAAACAGTGAGCATGTTATCACTCACTTTGATTGCTACCTGTACGGTTGTGTTCTTAGTCAATATATCTCTTTCAAAGAAGTGTGTTATTAAGCTATATGCCATAGAAATAGATGAAGGTTCATTGACCTGCCCTCTCGATTTTCAGTCAATATAGCACAAGTTCTAACTTCACCTCACTTGTTGAGGTTTCTGCGACTAGTTTACTGCACAGTACTTGTAAAGTAGATGTGACCCAATGTTTAATTCTGGGTTCGATGAGCCTCAATATTTTCAAAATGTCACTTCCTAGTGTGAATGATATTCAAAGTTAACAAAATGTTGAGTAACATTGGTGAATAATTAAACTGATTTCAGAAGTAGTATTCATCATGGACTGACATCAGTTGGGGAACCATTGAAAATCTGGTTTTCAATGGTTCCCCAATTGATGTCAGTCCATGATGAATACTACTTCTAAATTAAAAATCCCCATTCATCTCAAAAATACATTAAACTGCTTTTATTAAAATATTGCATTCTAGGTACTTGAATGTGCTTGGGAGAATCTTGTTAAACGAGTACATTGTGCTGAAGATTTGGGAGATGTTATTGATTCTCATCTAGCTTTTCTCTCCAGTGTATTCACAAGATGTTTACTAGATGCTGGTTCACGTCAACTACTTGGTCAATTGCGAGCAATATTCAATTCAATACTTGACTATTCTCAGTTATACCAAGATTTTAATACAGCTGCTATGATTGAGAATAGTATACGAGAAAAATTTGCATCTGAGGTTTGTATTTCTTTTATTTTTCATGTTTTTTTGAATCACTGATTAAATTATTGTTAATTTCCTGTGGAGCTTAACTACTTTTTGTCTGATTTTGAAACCTTACAGTACCAGAGTGGATAGCTTAATGCTACTATCGTTTAACAACGTCATTTGTTTTAAATATCAGACGAAAGCGTCAGCAACTTTACTTGGTTGTGACTAGCAGAAGAATCCTGGACGCGCGTTTCATCCTATTTGAGGCTCGTCAGCTAGATGTACATGCACCCCAGTGCAGAGTGATATTGTCGCCACTGAGACTCGAACCTCGTGCCCATCACTTTAAATGCCATGACGTTATCCACTGAGCCACAGAGGCACATTAGTGTCGTAAAATTTATGGACACAAATTTGAGAGTTTCTTGATAAATGCCTTTGAAGGATTTAGTAATGATGTCTATGAATATGATAGTCTAATACTTACATCCGAGTAAAAGAACATAAGTTTCTTCAATGCATATTCACTGTATTGAAGGCCTGAGAAGGGTATAAAACATACTGCTAATATGCCTTTACCACTGATTTCCTACGAAGATCTTGTAAGATTTAAATAAAGCGCACACATACGCATGATTTTGCACTATACTAATAGCCAAACGCACGATATACATCAGATCAATATGGGTAAAGTGGGTTTTCAATGCTGTCTGAATAGATAATCTGATATTTAGATCAATCAATGAGCTACTACTTTTGTTATTATAGAAGGTTGCTTATCGTTTTAATATATCCACCATAAATTTGTAGCTAATTTATAACCTTTGTCTGAAAATTCAAAGCATTGGTTTTGTTACAGACTATAGCCTTTTAGTTAAGATTTATTCTCATTCTCCTGAAAAAGTTTTCAGAAATAAATGATCACCGATTCTCTCATTATTTAACACTAGCCTAATAATGTTTTTGGATTATTGTGAAGAACTGAATGTAAGCTGTTATTTGTTACACCGTGTGATTTTAAGGCATGTTTCTTAACAAATGATATGAAAGGAGATTTTTCGATTCTTGATTATCAATGTCTCTCCAAAACATTGCTGGTGGTGGTATGTGTAGAAACTACGAAGTGAGCGTTGTCGATGTTAGTTGTTGAGGTAATTGGAATATATGGTGTGTGCTGTAATACTGTGGATTTGTAACATTCAAAGTTTTCTGAGGACGTTTGGACGGTTTTCAGATTCCACTTTTGTATTAGGCTGGAAAAAGACCAGAGGTGGCCAGACTAAAACATGCCTCCAATGTATGAAGTCTTTGACTGTTGGTTTAAGGTATGCGGGGCGATGCAGACTGGTTAGTTTGGGTCCGCGGGACAAGGGGAACCAGTGGTTGGAGACTGACTCTAGGTGATCACATGGCTGAGAACTGATGTCAGTGGCGCAGATGTATACACACATTATCCTCATCTTAACAACGCTATACCGAATCTCACTATTTTTCTCATTCCTCCTTTCTTTCTTCTCGTACTTTATATTTCTTTTGACTGAATTTTCTTTCCTTCATCCTTCGGTTCACTGCCTTTTTACTTGATGTGCTGATATGAGGTGTGGCAACTCGGACCGTTACGCACTAATGCCTGGTCATACGTTGATATTGATGATGATGATGAATTCAAATAAATCACATACTTTATTCGTTAATTCATAACCAAAATGCTCATGTTCAGAAATATTTCTCTTGAGTTCACGAAGGCATACATAGATGGTATCCATCAGATTGAAGGCATGTCTTTTCAGCGTTCAACCATTAGGATAAATGTGATTACGACCCAATTTTTTCTAGGAAAAAAATTGAATATCTTTCATAATGCAACTGTTCAGTACATCGATTTTAACATTTGCTTCTCCCTTCACTGTCACTGCGTCCTTGCAATCCTTTCACTGATGAAATAAGAACAAGACATATATCAGCGAAGAAAGCTTTTTTTTCAATGACTTCATTATCAAGCTGTGTTATTGTATTTATAGTCAGTAAAGTGTTAGATAAATTCACTGAAAGTTGCTCAGTTACTATACAAAATATAGAATTTGTGTTGATGGTGGGGTTTGTTCATATGGAAGAAATAGAAAATGGTTTACCGAATAAGGGATAAAATTATAACAAGTGATAAAACTAGGGTCAAATGTTATCAAAAAAGTATGTAGAATAGTGATAATGATGATAATAAAAGTAAAGTATATATAATGAAGTGAAATGAAATTGAAAAACTGACCAAAATCAATTGTTAAGGCCAACCCCACTCTCAGTCTAGAGGAATAAACGGTACTATTAATATAATTCGACAGACTACTCTTCAATACTTCGGTTATGGTATCACCTTTGAATTCCAAATTCATAACTCAAACTTTCCTAGGTACTAGTTATAGTAAAGATGGCTAGTGGCTAGCAGTAGAATCCAGGATGCTCATTTCGTCCTATTTGGGACTCGTCAGTTGGACATGCATACTTCCTAGTGAGTGATGTTGTTCCCACCGGAATTCGGGACTGTTATAGGGTGAGGAGTAATTCTTTTCTTTACTTTCTTATCAATAAGTCTTTTAAGTTATCCCTAATTTAATAGTGTTGTTCTGAAAGTTTCAATTTCAACATCTAACTTGTCTTCTGGCTAGATTTTATGAATTCTTAAACACAGTAAGTGAATGAGATTTCTTTTTCATCAGAGAAGTTAGTGAACTGTCCAGTTCAAGTTGGTTTTGCGATAGACTGATCTTTAGATCGAGCCATCGTCTCTACTCTTTAACATCACATCTGGGAGATAAAATGTTGAATTTAACTCTTCTTCTAGAGTGAATTGAATTTAATCGACAGCATGATAATCATTGAATCGTTTGAGCAGCTCGTCCACTGGACATGTTTCGTCAGAAATAAAAAAAATTGTTTCTAGTAGGTTCATGTCATTAAATCTGAATCGTATATTAAACGTACATCTAATATCAACTATTTTATAAGTAACTGGTAAATAGTCCAATGTTGATATTATTAGACTCATAGGAAAAGACAAGACGTGGCTGTAGCGAAGAAAAATTTTCCTTTTCGATGAAGTCATTCACCAATCTGTATACATTCGTGAATATATCTTACAGTGGGTAGAATGTTCCTAAGTTATTCCCGGTTAGGGGGCGAAATATATTAAACAACCAAAGAAAGCTAATTAATACACATTTGGATTTGGAGTGAGAAAATAGACAAGGGATTATGAAATCAAATGTAATTATGCAATACACGATAAATGTATGGCAAAGTAAGCAAACGAACGAAGGGTTGTGAAAATAAAATTGAAATTATGTAATACCGGATAAGCCGATGACAGAGTAGAAAATAAACAACGGATTATGGAAATATATGTTACATAATGCCGGATGAATCTGTGACAGTCAAGGCTTTATGAGGGTCATGACAAAGATAAAGGTTCAACGTATAACGCGGGTTTGAACTTCTGGATGGTTAATACTTCAGCTATAAGCAAATGCTTTGATCTCACTCCCTTTGAGTGGTTTCATCGAACCCTGTGGAGAATTTTGAATGAGCCCTCAAAAGAAGTTAAGTGACCTGAGTTCACGAGGTGGTCTGTTATTGAAGTAAAGATACATTTCCATTCTCTCTTTGCCAGCTAGACTAGGTAGTGTTCGCGGGCACATGGTACGACTGATGCACTCAGCTCCACAAGAGCAAATAAACTGGTATACATAAGTTGATGTGGCCAAATGCGTCGGCTTGTCTTTCACATATTGACCAAAAGGTTTCTTGCAAGAGAAAATAATTCGAAGGTTGGCGGCGAAGTATGTTACATTCAAAGACTTCAACAGTCGTTTCCTGAGGTTGTCTGTAGCGATATCATTTTTGAATTTACGACTCAACAAAAGGTTCTCCTTTGGCGCGAAATGGGTTCTTTGGCTTTATGTTCTTATCTTTGAATCTGAGCGGAAAAGCGTTTTCCGCTAAAGTTTATCGAAGTATTTGCAGTTCTCCGTCAACAGTGTCTTTAATACATATTTTCCTGATCCTCGAAGAAAGTTAATGGATAAGATTTCTCTTCCTGGATAGAGGTACTGAACTTTGAAAATTAATAAACTGTCCGTCCCACGTAGGCTTTCTGTAAGTCGTTCTGTCGTCTTTTCTTTGAAGTTGAACATCAAGAAAATGAAAGGTTGAGTTCGATTCTGATTCAAAAATGAATTTCGTTGAAGGGTGGGCGTTGAAAATTTGAAACAGGTTTGTAAGATTCATGTTTTCATCACAAATTATCCTTTGTAGACATGAAGTTCATCTATTGTTGATGATAAGCCGGTGTTTTCCAGGCTTTCCATGAAACAGTTAGCTGGGAAAGGTCCTAGTGGGAAACCCATTGCCACACCGTCTATCTACCTGTAGATCTCATTCTTAAATCGGAAGTGTACATTGAGGGTACGTCGAAGGAGAGGCTCTTTTAGGTAGTGAATTGGAATACCAACGTCTATGTTATGATATTGAATGAATTCACATAAGAAGCAGATGGTTTTTGTCAGTGGGACATTTATGAAGAGGGATACGACATCCAATGAAATCATTCTTTTACCTGTCAAATTGACATTGTTTGTTGAATCAACAAAATCTAATATGTCACGGAGACTGTGGTTCGACAGCCTCTTCTTTACAGCTTCAAGTACTTCTACTAAGCATTTCGCGACCAACTGATATGGAGAATTGATCATATCTAGTTTTGGATGGAGTAGAATCCCTTCTTTGTATATTTTGGGAAGACCGTATAAAGAGGAGATTGTAGAACCCGATGGGCGAAGTTGTTCATATGGTTCTCTGCTAATGAATGATTCATCTCGCATTTTCTTCAGTATTTTCAACAATTGCAGCTCTGTTTGCTCAGTAGGATATTTCCGTATTGTCTATTTTAAGAATTTATTATCATCGGATAGAATGAGTGAACGTTCTCCCAAATAGTATGCTTTGTTTAGTAGTACTATTCTAGAGCCTTTGTCCGGGCGTATCGTGACCAAATTTTCATTTCTCTTTAGTTCATTCAATTGGTTTCGATGTTCTTTTGATAAAAAATGTCGATAGCTATTTAAAACTGTTGATTTGAAATAGTTAGCATCATCATATGAAACTGGAACTAGATCCTTGATTTAACTAATTAGGTTTTCAAACTGAACTTTCTTATGGTGATCGTCGACTTTTGAAGTTACAGAATTTAGGTCCAAGCGGCAAGATTTACATTTGAACTGGGGATAGTGATATATTTGGAAAGTTGAACACATATTTTTCTGGACACGAGAAAAAGCCGGTTTCTTTAGTTATAGACTTTAAGCTTTTATATAGCTTCAGAATGATGTCCTTGTTAGAATCAATGTATTCACATAGATGACAAACAGTTTCAACAAGTGAAATATTAGTAAGTAAGTACATTTATCTCAAATTTTACCGATTATGAATACGATTGTACAGTTTGATCATGAAATCGTTGAGAAGAAATATTTCTTCGCGGATATATATCTTGTTCTTCCTATTCATGAATAACACCAATAGTCTTAAACTGTTTGTTCCTGTGCCATCTGCTTACTCCGAGTCAACCAGATGCCCTCCTAGGAAGAAATTAATTCCTGAATAGTCTGGGGTACATAACTTTACTTCCATCAGTGAATTTGTAAGAAAGTTATATAAGAATGGTGACAATGAACATCCTTAGTAAACACTGATGTTAATGTGAGTATAGGATTTGCTTGCCCTGATAAATTTGGTTCGAAATGTCATCCTGTAAGTCATCAACATAGGACCAGCCCTTTTTGCTTTATGGTCCAAGTTGCCACATCTTATATTAAGCAATAAAGCAATAGGATGACATAAAGAAACAGAGAAGCTAGTAAGTAGCACTGTATCACCTTGTTCTATATGAAATAGATAAATGTAATAGTAAACCTTTAGCAACGTCATTCAACAGCTATATGAAGACGCCACATGCCAAGTGATCCACAATGGAGTGCTCAGTGATGCCTTTGAAGAGAAGACAGGAGTAAGACAAGGTTCCCACTATCTATCACCGATCGTCTTCCTGATTGTAGTCGACTGGATCATGCAGCAAATCATGAGAAGCGAGACGATGGGCATACTCTGGATGGGTCGATGAAAAGACCCTAGATGCTTTACATTTTGCTGATGATGATTAATGTCGCACTAGCTTGAAGATCTACAGGCAAAAACCAACAAGTTAACAGAAGAGGCAGCGAAAACGGGACTTCAAGTGATTGTAGAAAAGACAGAGGTGATGAAGATACCCAACCAACAACATCAACAACAAACACCAATCACCATTAACGGGAGAAATCTAAAGGAAGTTGTCCCTTTCACCTACCTACCTAGGCAGCATCGTTTCAACTACATGCGGCGGTGGCGGCACAGATGAGGACTTCAAAGCCAATATCAGAAAGACATCAAGATAGGTCTTCATTAATCTGAAATCAGTATGGAGATCTGCTGCACTCAGCACAAAGAACATGGTGCGGATTTTCAACACTGTCATTCAAGTAAGTCAGTGCTTCTATGCGATGGTTGAGACACTTGGCGCATTACGAAAAGCATTTGCAACAAACTACAGACATTCATCAACAACTGCCACTTGCGCTCACTCGATACTGAAGATCAGGTGGCCAGAATAATAAGAACAAACAACAATGAACTGTGGCTGACTGAGAACGAACCAACCAACAACCTATCGCCCAACAAATGTGCGGAAGAAAGTTAAGATGGATTGGGCATACACTGAGAAGACTATTCGGGGACATCATGCGCCACGCACTCGAGTGGAACCCGTATGGGATACGATGAGTTGTGCGTCCCAGATGAGGGTGACATGGAGGAGATCGTGTGAAGAGTACGTGAAAGCTTCTGGGTAGTGGTGGGGCCAGGTTCAAAAGACTGGAGAAAACAGAGTGAAATGGAGACGTGCTACTGAAGCCGTATGTTCCACTAGGAACCCAAGGGACAAATAAATAATATAATATATAATAGTTATTGTAACTTCAAATGATAACTTCGCATAGGGTCGGGTAGAGATCCTTGATATAAGCATTACATGCGCTCTCTCTATACTTCCTTCGCAGTTAGACACTGCCACTAACTCTCGGTCGGCGAAATCAAATTCCACCTTATAATCAAGAAATGTAGCAACTGCCTGTCTTTGAAAATTCGTTGAAGAGTGAAGATCTGTATCTGTTTGTGTATAATGTCAATAATCCAACCTAGCAACTAACGACAGGTCCGTGTATTATGTTACAAGTCGCATCTATTTTATAACGACTGATAAAATTAATTTTCTTTCCAAGTCTCAGTAAATAAATCTAGTTTCGATTCTGTGAGTCACTAGCTGAAACCTGAATGCTTAAGCTAGCGAACTACAACTCTGATGCATATGCGCGTTACATATCGTCATAATTTTGGCCATTAGATAAGCCACATATCTAATCAAAAATGACTGTTAATAACCTTTGGATGTTTGTCGTTGACATAAAGCAGATATACTAGCTGTTGTAGTGGACAATTGTTTCATCTGAACTTTCTACTTCCTACCCGTTTCACACTCAGCTTCTGTCAGGATCAGATGAAAAACTCTTGGATCTTATAGCTGTCTCAATATATCTTATGCGTTAGGTGTTGTCGTCTTGCACTCATATCCTTGTTTACTGCATTTACCTTATCACATATTTTATACACAAAGTACAAATTAGGCACCAACAAATACACCATATAAACACCTTGGACGTATATTCATATTGTTGTTGAGTTATTTATTTGAGATCTGGTATAGTGCTTGATTATCTGAAGAAATTGGTCATCCTGTTGGCTTTAGTTAAGTCTAGTCTACATCGAGACCGGACAACATCACAAGCTGTATTTTCATAGTTGCCGGTGACTAAAATAAACCGAAATATGCCGTTCATCTGTTCCAAGTCAGTTTTCTTTCCAATTCTCGTAGATATACTTTCGTATCCACTGATCTAGTGTTTAGCACCGGAGATTCTCTTTTGCGTTATAGGAACAATCATGCCATATAGTTATTGCAAAATATTGTAACTCGGACAGGTGCCGTTTTTTGTGCAAAATCTTGCGTTGTCATATGCATACGTTGCTTTCAAACTCAGTCAACGTTATCTTCTGTTGAGATCTGTGTACACCACTGTTGTTAGTTACTACTGATTGAACGACTGCGGATTCGTAGCTGTTTTCCGAGAGACAAATTCATATAGGCTTAAACTAAATCTTGTGGCCTGTGATATAAAGGTGAACTATACTTGGTATGACTTCAGATTGTTATCAGACTTGAAACTGACTACATAAATGTGAGTGTAAACAATCACTTGTGCTCGAAATGTCATCCATTACACACTTTATATCAATTAAAATAATCTAAAGTGGAAAGTTACTTTAAAACAGTATCCACATTCTACTTTAACATTATTGCTGCTATCCAGTTAGTAAGTAGTAGAATTTTCGTCATGAGATTTGAGTAAACTGCAGACAGTCTTATAAGTGAAATTATTTTTACTGAAAGTTTGAAATCAGATTTAGACAGTCACTCTACAATGTGATACGGAGAAGGGTTTCCAAATCTATCCACTCCTCAATAACATTAAGTGAATGCTGATTAATAACACCATTGTGGAGCTGTAGCTCATTGGTTTGATGAGATGACTTTCAATTAGGGGCTCACGGATTTAAACCCTGATCCACCTACCGAGGTTTCGACAACTAGGTAATATCATTAGCCGTCACACAATAGATGTTGACTGTATGATCGTGCATGTTAAATTAAAATAATAACACCCTTCTTTGTATATTTATTATTTGCACTGGATATACTGCATACAAAAAGCATATTGTGGAAGAACAAATGTGCAAACAAACGGCGTTAAAGTGTAATCGAAATCCGAGTGACCATTAGAAATTCTCCCGTTCATTGAGATCAAACTAATTGCTATATAGTGCTCATTAGAAAGACACTTCCAGATGAATATCACGAAGTTCTAATGAGAAGCCGTGATCTGTGTGGTCAACCAGTTGAAAGGGAAGCGGATACCAACTGAAAACCTTAAGTGAAAGTCGCGCTATATCGTGAATTAACAGAAGTTGAAAACTGTTAACCACTGGTTGAATGGCTAACGCGTTCGCCATGAAACCTGAATGTGCTGAGTTCGTGGTGCGTACAGCCTGTGGAGTCCTATATTAGGACGAACCAGCTGTCCAATGCTTCCAGGCTTTCAATCATTCCTCAACTGATGTCGTTCCGTGATGAATACTACCTCTAAATTGAAAATCCTCATTCACTTTGAAAGAATATTGCAATTATTTGTTACTTTAATTATGAGTAAAATCTACAATTTTGTCTTTTCATTTCGTGGATTTATCTGCATCTGATAGTTTTATGCATTTGACAACTGAGCCATTCACTCAATCAATATACTCTTATTGGTTACTTGTCTCCAATTGTAAGGTGAAAAAACCATCTGAAGATTACTACTATTGTTATCAATGCTCCTTGATTAGATACTGTCTGTTGACACGATTGTTTTGAATCATAAAATGATGCCGTATTTGATTGCTTTGCTGAACAATTAATTTATTATCATTAGATTATCTGAGATAGCCGTAGTTTGGCAGACTATACTGGGTGATGATTGAAGGTGAGATGAAAATTTTGACCGTGGCCGGTGTGAATGCGATCAAGTGGTAGTAACGCATCACGAATTCACATGATAGTCGGGTTAAACCCTTATGGATTTAAATGAAATAAAATTTGATCAGCAGTCAGACCTCGTAGGTGAGTTGGTAGAGCATCGAGCAGAAAACCTGATGGTCGCTTGTCGAAATCTGGCTGTGGTCCAAATTTTCATCTTACCTTCAGTCATCACCCAGTATAATTACTTTATTCTTTAAAAAAATATTTCCTTTTTTCTTTCAATAACAGGTACAATGTTCCAATCAAACTGGTCACTGGGGTACTAGTCAGTTACAAGAAGAACAAGAGTCTATTCGCCGTAAAGAATTTGTTGATACCAAATTAGCTCATTTACAAGCTAGAATTCGTATTCAAGCAGCTGCCTATCGTGTAAGTTTTTTCAGTTTATTGTTTCCTGAAAATTCTTTTTCAGCTTTAATATAAAGTAACTACTACTGAAACTAAATAGTCTATATAGAATGAATTCTCTAGGTATACCCTTTAATCTTTTATATACTATTTTGCTGGTCACTCACTGTTCTTTTGAATTGTAATTTGAAGTTCAAATACGAATCTGTTTTTGACTTATTTCTCGAAGAAATCTAACTTTCATGCCACTACATTGACTCACCATTACAGTGTATATTTAAAACTTTTCAAATCGTTTCCTTATTGGATTTGTTTATTTGATATTATGGCGCACGATAGTGATACAGGAATATTTACTTGATGACATTTGGAGCATAAATTATTCCTCATAATCATAATCAATGTAATCACACACGACTTCTGACATCTGATTTTTATAGTCCTATCACCTCGTATTATTAGTCCCATATCTCTGGTACACAGGTGTTGTGTCACGCCTACTGCATATGTTTGGTGTTGATTCGATGAACAAAGATTCAGTAACCAATCTCTTTCTCTCCACCTAATCATATTGAACTTGGGTACAGTGGTTTTAACCCCACCCACCCTATTGTGTAGTTGTATGCTAATCCATGCATTGCAATAGCCAAGTGTTTTTTTCTAAATTATTGATATTATTTGTGTCTGCCACTCTATATTTAGCTGAATCACAATATTCCACTAATTTAACTGACCCCCATCGGCTAGTTTCACCCACGTACTTAACCTCACAGTCATTACATGGAATTTGATAGATTAGATTATCTTGACTAATCGGTCCCATCGGATCCTTTAGGCAACTGACAAAAGCTTATCTCTGAGTGAGTTTGTAAGTTTAAATGCCAACCTAATTCCACCATTGTTGACGATCCTACGTAAAGTTTCTAATGTACCTTATATGTTAACATAATGGAGGCTGTGAACTCTTTTCTACTTGTATTGTCGTTATTATTCGTAGTCGTGTTACTCCTATTCTCTCGTTTTTTGTGTCTTCCTACGAATTCCTTAATAAACGCGTTTCAATTCCTTGTTTAGGTGGTTGCACTGACCAGTCAGTTTTCTAGCTCTATCACTTAGACATTTGACTAAGTCTGTCTTAACTGGCATTCGATGGGATGACCTGAAGTCCAAATACTTGTTGCAGTGTATCGGTTTTCTGTAGACAGATCCTTAAGCCGATATTGATATGATTATTAGGAATAAATTTTCTCTCAAAACGTTATCAAGTCAATAATACTATATCATTGTGTGCTATATCATATCAAGTAAACAAATCTAAAATGGATTTACATTTTACCACAGTGCTTAAATTTGTCATTATTACTGGAATTAATCAATCAAGTTTACTTTCGTATCAAATTCTGTTCACTTTCGGTGGTGATTGGGGAGAAACAAAACTGTATCCTTGTATGTGTTGTATGAAGTAACGTTATTTAGTATGAGATTTAACTTGACCAGAATGCCTGAATTCTACTGTAGTGGCGCTGACAAGATTTGATTCGAGAACATGATACATGAACAGAAATGTGTTCCTTCTATTCACATACGAATAATAGGTGATTTAGGTTTGAACCGTATCGGCAGTTGGTTATCTTGGCGTAGCTTGGTTGGTGAAATGCTGGTCTAATAACCCGTGAATCAATCGTTCAACTCTCCGTATACTTTTACCTGTAGTTGAAAACCAGTAATAATTGCTTTACATCTGATTTCGACGGCCATGCTTTATAAACGTATAACAGGATACAGCAAACTGTAGCACAGTACTCTCGTTTGTTTTCTTAGTGCCAGATATAATACATGTTAGCAAATGACAAATGGTCTTTTAGTATCCTAGCTGAGATTTCGTCAGCAATCGACCAGCCTGACGTCATGTAGCCTCTCAAATGAGTTAAGTGATCTACTAGCGTTATCACTTCACTTTGTTTCTCTTAATAAGGAGCTGGTACAGAGCAGTCCTGAAGTATCATCTTGTATTTGACAGGTGCAAAGTGCATATCAAACACCCTCTGATTTCCGCTCAAGGTTTTCAGAAAACTCTTTACTTTGTTGGCTTCTTCGTCAAATAGGAAAATGTTGTCTTCGTACTCCAAATCCTTCAGATTTCCTCCAGGAAACAGATCGATCTATGTAAAGTCTCTAAGTTTATTACAATCAATACATCTATGAAGTTAAACAAGAACGATGATAGCGGTTATTCCTACCGTACACTACTAATTGTTGTCACTTTAGATGGCAACAGCCTCTCCTGCCACCCGTCGTGCAACTATGGACCCTATGATATTAGATGTGATGTTATTTGAACCGATCCGTTTATGGTTGTCACAAGAAGACTTCTCTGCCCTACTTCCACCCTTAAAGATTTCTAGTGTCAACCCATCATCAGGTGTTGCTACTTTGTATCGTTCATTGAAACAGTCTTTTCAACTTAATGGGGAGTTGGATAACCTAGATCTACGCCCCATTCAGGTTCAAACTGTATGTTGGGCAACTGCAGAATTGCTGTGGCCCAGTTATACTATGCTTTAAAGTTTTTCCCCAGCATCGTAGGTGTCTGTCCTGAGAGGTTATCAGGATCCAATCCTTCTCGTATATGGTTTCACTAACTGTCGTTTTCTTCCCGCAGGTATCCTTAATAAACCTCAATAGTTGCCGTATGTTACCTAACGCTGATACTTTCTCCATATCTGTCGCTCGCTCTCGCCACCCACCACTCCGTACACTCATTGTAGAGACGTTTAGTCAGTTCACACTTGAGCTGCTTTTGCTTTTCACTGAGGTCAGAGCCGACTGGAATGAGTCTTCTCCAATCAATCAGTTTGTCTGAGATTAGAGAAATCTATTGATGTTTCCTAACCCAGTTGGATCCTGAATGGAACATCGAGATAGGCCTCCAACAATTGCAGAAGTCGAGAAAGTTGTAGGTAACTCGAAGTGAGGAAGGGCAGCAGGACCAGATGGAATAACTCCAGAGCTATACAAGGATGGTGGTAAGGTGCTCTTAGTTAGGTTAACGGAAAATGCTTAATATCCGTATCAGGAAGTGAAGGCGAGGGAGGTTATGGTTTATTGGGTTTTACATAGTACTGAAAGCGTGCAAGTGGTTGGTGCTATCCCGGCTGCCCACATAGTGGATATTGTTTCTGCAAGGTGACTGTATGGGAGAAAGGAACCTATAGGACATCTGCTTGAGATCTGGCACAGCATTTCGAGGATTTTCGGGCTGAGATTTAATTGTCCTAAGGCCAGGACACACCAACTTCACCGAAATACTGCAGTGTTAGGAGTGCACTGTTTTGGGGGTTGACGTCTTCTTACTGACTTCCACTTTTCATAGCGTAGGCAGCATCAGGATTGTAATGCTGGTCATCCATGGGAAACACCCTACTGTTGTCACTTCTCGTTCAACCTGCAGTCCAACTAGTCTGTAAATTCCCATCACAACTTAGCTATATAGATTATGATGACAACTGATGTTTTTCTTACTGCTATCCAACTGATCTTCCTGGCATAGAGTAAAAGTTGCAACCAGCGTTGCTCATTGGGTCACTGTGATATGTATAAGTGATATCTTAGCGTTCACTTAATTTTTGCTTCTTCTGTTCATTGAACAGTGATTCACTGATTAATTCATCTAACTTTTAAAAGTTACATCATATATTTAAACCCTTCATCACATAATGAGCTTTATACAACTAGATGTCAAGGTAGTTTTCATCACAGGTAGACCATGGAACTATGGAAAACCTAGGGGTACTAAACAGCTATGTCGTCGTAGTTTGGGACGCATCATCCTTTCATAGATTGAACTTAGTCGGGTCTGGCTATACAGTTATGATGTTTCCGTCTAGTCAGTGGGTTCAAATTCAGTGGTCTACTAATTCATGCTCCTATCAGTTCATTGAATATCGTAACAGCAGTCTAATGATGTTGACGAGTACTCATAGTTATACCTGAATCGATCTATCCCACAGGTTATTAGGAATTTTGAAAATCCATCTTGTAGCAATTCACTAATATTTTCTGGAAATGATTCAATTGGTGGTTCTCTGGGTTGTTTTTTCATTAGATTCCACTTTCCAAGTGAGTCACTTTTTGTCTAATTTCTCTATATAGGCTAATCTTACCAAATTCATTGAAATGTTGGCATGTCATACAGATTCTAGTCTACGCTTATTAGCAGAGCATATAAATTTCAATGGACATTATTGTTCTTCGGTGTCTGGATCAAATGCATCATATACTACTGGATCTGATACCTCTGGATATCCTGTAGCATCAGTATTAAATCAACAGAAGCGACAAATACAACAAGAAGAACAACAAGAACAAAAACGAGAACATTATCAAAATCAGTACAATGATATCATCGTATTAAAAAGTGCCTTACCATATTCTGGGTCTGTAACATCAAGTTCCTCTTTGACTGTTGCTTCAAAGCAACGAGAATCAAGTATATCTCAGTTGAGTGATATAAATTTGAGTAGAAAGAGTTCTAGTACTTCAGATGAATACAGAAATGGAGATGCACATCGAAAACAATAAATTGTGTGTGTGTGTGTATTTAATTATTATTAAAAAAATCTGATGGAATACCAATAGTCTGAAAGTGGTGGTACATTTCTAGCTATTATATATTTCTTATTCCTTAATGTGTAATGTAATTATATTTTATTGAAATTGATGATCAGGATCGTTTTTTTCCCCCCTTCATTTTACACCTTCTTCATTCCCCTATAAATGAACCTTCGAATTCTAATTGAATTTTACCTGCAGTTCACTTCTGATTCAAAAAAATGTTTAGATTTTGAAGACTGTATTTAAATGTGTGTATATACATATATGTATTTATATATACATATATATGTTTATATCTGTGTGTTTAGTTTTATGTGGTCATGTATTTATTTAGACGAGTTAATAGGGCGTTTTATACTTATGCATATTTTTATCTTTATCTATCTTTCTGTGTTTATCTGATCTGTCTATAAACCAGTGTTATTTCAGATAAATAATAATAAATTTGTCAATATTTAACTGAATATTAGTCAGTTTTATTGCTTATATTATATCATCGTTGATTGGACCGAATTAATCGGTCTCAATTGGTATATGGGCTCATACACGGATGCATTGATATTGCCTGTGTTTTTTTTAAAATTATATATAACCATCATTACTATATAATTAAAAAAATACAAGCAATATCGAGGCGTCCGCTCAGGGGCCCATATGCCAGTAGACCGATCAATTCAATCAACAACGGTATAATATAAGCAATAAACACTAAAACTATATCCGTCACATAAGAAGTGGCTATCGTGGTTCCGTTGTCTGGTGAATAATGCTCTGGCGTTTGAAGCTATCGATCCTGAGTCCGAATCCCGATGGGAACAACACTCACTGGGAGGCAAGTATATCCAGCTGACGAGTCCCAAATAAGACGAAATACGCATCCTGGATTCCACTGCTAGCCACTATTCATCATTATTGTATGAATATCAATTAGTTTATTTATGATTTTTTTGAAAATTATTTTCCAGTTTCATTGAATAAATGACTTTATTTAGATACTTGATCTTTTGGACAAGGTTTGGCGTTTAAAGCGATGAGTACTGAATTCTAATCTCAAGGGGGGGGACAACATGAAATGTCTTGTTCCTTTGGATCTTTTTAGTAAGATCAGCTCCTACTATACCACAACTATCAAATAAGAACATTGTTGAGTCTTAAATAGAAGCTGTTCCCGCTATCGTATGGAATAAGAACGAGGCAAATAATTTTATGGAAACATTTACTGAGCAGTCGGAAATTCTTTTTAGAGACTCAGTAACATCAACCTTCGTTTATATAGTCGGTCATCATTTCGGCAGGAGCAGTAGAGCTACTGTATATTGCGTTGTCACATATAGTACAACGTTTCATTGCATCAGCTATAACCTGTTCGTCACTTATTTGCCATCAGAACAAAAACATGTCGATTGAGATTACTCCGTGACGGCTTCCAACAATCCTAGATAAAAAAAAACCCAATAACATCAAATTCATGGGATGAATTGCTGAAAACTAATTCTCCAAGAGAGTGAAGCAAGTGGACTACAGCGGACTTACCCTTCGGTATGCCCTATACCATTTTCGACTGCGTTTCCGAGTGTGCCTGATTAAGCCACTTTGATGCTACCAAAGGTACTTATTTTAAGGGATTCATTTTTTGGAGTCAAACGTGTAAACCGTTGCATTTCAAATGCTCAATCGTCTAGGAACTTAGAGCCACCAATAGTAAACTTAGTCGTAATCCAGCGAAACACGGTATGCATATGTTTACACAAATGTGACTACTAGACGGAAATAACTTAAACTTCAGCAAATACAATAGCTTTATTTTCAACATTAATGTCGTTTGCAAACGATACATCGAGAAGCCTAGGTCACTGGATATCCATTCACGAGTCATTTATGGTTATGCAGATCGCCTCAATGACATTTCCGTTCACAGATCAGACAGCGTTGAAACTGTTGTAGCAATACACTTAGGCAATTCCTCTTAAGTCTTACTTTATAGTAATTATGAAACTTAGTCCTTACGTTTGCTTTTCATTTGAATGTATGAAACAATTGTTTTTAATGGGTTTCAAACTCAAGCACTGGTTGGCCTTCTTGTTTTATTCTGAACCACCTAAAGCTTATCATTCGTCAGCACAGTCTTTACAGCAATAACGTATGTGTTATACCTTCGTCTCCAACTGTTATATATTCCGAACGGACATAATACACACGCTTGACTGGCAGCTAACTTCGTACGCAATAGCCACCGACTGTGACCCCGGGACGAATAGAGAGAAGACCAAAGCTGGATGATGGGAGACTTTATTCGTCGTAGAATATAATAATCAATTCAAAAACACGTGAATATGTGTATCCATGACATATGACCTTGTCCGTAATTTGAGACAGGCAGAAAATAAACTGCTGGTCATATCGTAAAAATTGTGTGACAATGCCAAGTTGAAAATCTTCAAATCAATAACAATGTTTTATGCAAAACTGGAGCCTTACAACACTAGAATTAAGCGGACGCATCAACATCTTAGTTGTATCGTGTTCTCTGAGCTGGGTTGTAATTATACCTTTACATAGGAAATAATTTGAAAATATGCTTTGGTAATTAGAATTATTTACAAATACATTATTTTCTCTATTATTTCAACATAAGAGCAATCGATAGGATGCGCTTAGCGTCATTGGTAGAATAGCCTTCAAAGCTATTGAAAGACTCTTATTTCTAAACTTAAAAGTATTAGTAAATAGATAAGTGGGCAATTTTTATTATGCAAGCAAAGGAGAGTGAACCATCGGTTGTAAAAACCACGTAACACAATCTAGTTCATAGGATACAATCACTACCAAGGAATTTAGCATCAAAATGGTTTCATTTCAGTGACCAAATAATGTATACTCTTCTCATAGAGAAACATGTAGTGAGCCATGCTATGGGTTAATGCTGAAATGAAATAGGAGGATTCAATGTGCTTGAATTCCGACCAACTGGATCTTTTTCGATTAACTTGTAGTGAAAATACCAAGTGTTGGTTGAGCATTTGTTTTGGAACACCTAATTGTTAGTTCTGTTCTTCAACAATCATATCCTAATTAATACTATTTGACAATCGGTGGAAGAGTTGTGTGACCAACTTCAAGGTCAGCGGTGGGCAAAACAGTCAGTTGGTGATTTTATGTCCTTCTGTTGAGTGTTTATTCATACCACCTGTGCCAAGCAACGACCCACTCTATAGCTGAGTGATTTCTGGGAAGGATTTGTTTGATGATACACCTAAGAACACCGGTTAGGATGTTGACCATTAGAGATATTAATTCATAGTTTTAAATCCCTTGTATATATGCTAGTGAAACAGGAGTCATGTAAAAGTTTGCGAAATACTACACAATGATCAAAAGAGATGTAAACTACTAACAAGTATTCAGTAGTATGACTATGCATTCATTATATCTTACTTTAGTTCGTTTGACGTCTGCACATCTAATGATTTGTTAAACATGGTGACTGAAGCACCATGCAGTTCTTTATTTCCTCATGCAAAATTACATTGATTAGTTCACTAAACCCCTGATAGAGAAAAATCAAACGTTTAGGAAATATCAAACAGCTATCACACTAACTTGGTTTTGAGATAACTGAGACTCTTCGCAATTGTACATGTAAATTTTATATGGAATAGAAATAAGCTTACATCAGTGTAGAACTTATGTATTCTTTCTGCACACTTATTTTTATACTATGACCAGATGATTATTTGTGATTTGGTATTCATCATGGAGGAGATTTGGACAGCTGTTTCGTCCTAGTGTGGGACTCCTCAGCAGTGCGCACCCAGCTTGAGGTCGAACCCAGGGCCTTCAGGTTACATGGCAGCACGTTACCTTTGAGCCACTAAGTCTGAATCCAGTGGCCCACACTTCCTACCTCTGTCAGTTCACGATGTAGTACAACCGCCGCCCAATGTCATCGTTGAGTATTTGTCGTCACATCTAATTGGTTTACCCCACCAGTCGCGACTTCTCGCTGAAACTTCAGGAATTATCTCTCGAAGCTGGTTACCAATAAGCATTAGATCAATTCAGTTTGGAGGTTTGTCGAGATTTATTAACTCCAGGTTGATATTCATCATGTACTGATATTAGTTGAAGGAACACTGGACAGCTTAATTGGCTCTACCGGATCATTTAGCCTTCCAAATGTCTCTCTGAGTAAGTTTCTGCTTTTAAATGCTACCCTATCCCAGTATTGTTCAAGATTCTACGTAAAATTTACGATGAGCCATATAAATTATATAGCAATAATACCATAGGATCTGAATTCCGTCTTAGGCATGTGAAGGGAGTTTGAAAATCCTATGATTATTTTAGTATATGAACATGAGCAATAAATTCTAATCGAAACGTCGTCATCCAGTAGATACTACTGTATCACTGTGTGCTATACCAAATAAACTATCGAATATGAAATGTTAACTTGTTCACAGTCAAAAATTTTCCACGACGTTACTGATTCTCCCTGTTTTTATCAAACTCAATACAACAGCTTATCTTCTAGCTAGTAACGAATAAAGACAGCTCCTATCGATAATTCAAAGCTATCTGATAGCCTGAAATGCCATCATGAAATGAAGTTTTCGAATTCTAGTTATACTGCTCAGTATCCATCTCCTCGACTCTCAAGGATCGTAGGTGTACCATGAAATGGTTAATTGGAAACCACGTCAACTGGCTAGCTATGATAGTTTCACTCGGTTTGTGTTCTTACATAAACGAATCAGTCGAACTTTTCACTATTTCTAAAACACACTTCTAGGATTGAATCAATTCAGATGGATGAAGTGCTCCTATCATTTTATCGATTCCAGATCAGGCGATGTTTGTTTTCAACCCTTCCCTATGCTTGTGTAATTGGTGAAGTGTTTAAAGGAACTGCTTACAGTCACACATAGTTTATGTGAACATACTGTATAGTCCTACTTTTATTTGTA